TCAGTGTCGATGAAGATCTTTAGATCTTTAACTTACCTTGCAATGGTACATTGCATATTATTATTACAAACATAGAAGCTAAAAAAATATGTATGTTCTCAATAATTTTTATCTTCATTTCCTCGTAATTCTCTTTGATATAATTTATGGTTATCCACTTCTGTTTGATATAATTTATGGTTTATAGCTCATTTTATGAATATTCATATTGATAATTTTTATAAACATTTTACACTGTACTTGTAGCAGTAAAAGAAGTTTTCAACCTTCGTATTACGTTACTTGGTTATAGAAAAATCATCTGCCCCTTGCTTAGCAATGAATTAGCGATGAATAGCGATGTTTTCATAAATTAACAAATTGGATATCTGATAAGAATATATGATATTCTGAAATTTTGCTGTCGATAAAATGACTAATTTCTTCTTAATAATGTCATGCGACTAGAGGTGATTCTTGCAAATGTCGCAAGAGTAAAAAAGGTTTTATGTTATGCTGGCCACACATTCCTGAAATTAATATCTTAAATTAAGAATAGTTTTCATCTCATACATACTACAAATAATCACGTTTCATACATTCCCCATTATACTTCAAGGATATTAGAGTCAAACTGGCATTTCGGAATTTTTAAAATAAAAGATCAAACATCAAGGAATGAGAATTGCAGTTAATTTTCCGAATATTACTCTGCTGCATTTATACACTTATTCTATGATTTAACTAATTCCTGGAAGCTCCGTTATAGAAAAAAATGCCAATCTGCCTAAGTGTGACCTTGGTGAGATCATGTTCTCTCTGAGGTCATGGCCGGATGAATAGAGTTTATGTAGTTTTCTCCAAATGCAGTGTGAATGGAATTGTTTCTTTTAGATAATTTTCCACGAAGGCATTACTGCTTTACGAAGATAGTTCTTTATGATTTGCAAAAATCAGTTAACCTAATTTTTAGCATATATTTTGAGTGATTCTGACTTCGAAGTTCCTGAATTTTTCCTGATACCGAATTTTAATCACGGTTCCTAACTGCGAGACATCTTCCAGTATAATGCGTCTATCTGAAACTGCTTTCTATTACCCTTTATAATTTATAGAGTTTTAATCACGGTCCCTGACTGCGAGATATCTTCAAGTATAATGGATCTATCTGAAACTGCTTTTATTATCCTTTAAAATTAAATTCTTCCTATTTATTATCCTTTTTACCCCCCCCCAAAAAGGGATCAAACTGTTATTACTATCCTAATTGTTAAATCCAAAAATGCTTGAATCTCAAATATTGTCATACTAATCACTACATCTAGTGCTGTTTTAGAATAATTATAATTTTTTAATTTAATTTAGAAACATCTGATGCCAATAATAAATGAAAGTAATAATTTTAAGAAGAAAATAATTAATGCATGCAGAAAGAATTAAATACATATAAATTAAAAAATTATTGTACAGTTGAACTCTGCTATAATGCATTTTAAGGAACCGAAAGTTTAGTTCTATATATTCCAATCTAATAAGGGAAAAAAAGGATCACTTCACAAAATTCACTGATAGAAATTTATTAACTCTAACACATCTCCCCAAAAAGTGAATAAAAAAACCATTTTAAAAAACGTTTAAGAGTAAAATAACAATTACTCTTACGTATAATTTCTAAATTTTTTTCTTCAATTTTTAATTTCACCATGCGTGATTAATTTTACATGATAAAACTAGTATAAAAGTAATGGTTTAGACCCGTTCCTCCAATTACACAACTCCATCTAAAATATATATTTACAATTAGCATTTGTCCAGATAATGGCATAATGGAAGTTCTTTGAATGGTGGAGAATTTCAGTAATTATTCTTCAAGCTCTTTATGCTGGGGTCTTTTTAGAGTTTTTTTCCTCGTATTTAATTGTTTTCCATAATTAGAAATTTCCTAATCTCGATTTTTCCATATGAGACTAAGTACAGATTTTGATAAACTGTTTTCTCGGCAGATATCTATCTGGTTATAACCATTCTGTATTTTTGGAATAAGAAATCATCCTTCCCTAATTAGCGAATCACGTATATAACGTCTAATTATTACTTCCTCTTTCCCTGAATAGCAAAAATTCCCAAATTGCCATCTCCATCACACCATCAGCCTTGAACAGAAAAGTTACAGTACAATCGGAAAACTAACAGTACAATCGGGAAAAAAAAAAAAAAAAAAAAAACCTGAATGAAATCGAAAATCCCGTACAGTTCTTAGATTCAATGGTCATAGACACCATATCGTGTCCTAATATACTATGCTTATTGTATGTTCCTGGTTCTCCAATAAATAGGTATTACACTTGCCTCGCGTAACCTTTGTTTAAAGCACAAGAAAACGCAGGAAAGGTAAGAACGTAAAAGTATTATCCGCTGTTTTTAGCATGGATGAAATCTTAATGAATCTGATGAAATCTTAAAATAGAAGAATTTAAGGGTTAGCAATTTTTCAGTTTAAAAATAATTTAAAAAAAGAAATCCGAAAAATACATAAAACTTTTCAGTCTAAGTGTATTCCTGAAGTTCTTTATATCCGATTTTCTCATATTTGGAAGCTCGCTACACCCGTCTAAAATTACATTAAGTGTATAGGAAATTATGTGGGACAAAAATATTCGTTCGTTATATTCGAGGGTTCTTTAGAAACTGGATTCGCTATAGCGAGGTTTGACTGCAATAGATTTATCATAATGGGAAAAAAATTAACAAGGAAATAACTGATGCTGAAATAATGAATTTAAAAAAGAAAATCATAAATTGGGCTATAAGTTCTTTAGATTCACATTTCATTTAAATGAACCATCATTAAGCTAAAAAAGCTACCTCCGTTCCTACTTATTTTCTTGATATTCGTAGTAGCTAGATGCTCCTGTAAATTTAGAGAAAAGTCTCCAAATACTAAATCATTTTTAGGTTTAAGAAAAGTTATTTGTTGATTATTGCCATGAAGCTAATTTTGCAATTATTGCAATGAACTATAATTGTATTTTCGGAAACATTTCTTTGCTCCAAACCTCTAGAAGATATTTAATAAGTGTTTGTATTCCTCAAAAAAGTAATATCATTCGTATAAAATATGTTCACATTTGCATATCACATGACTGGTGACTCTTCTGTTAACGATACAAGCCATTCTTAGTTGCACTGGGTTGGGAAAGTTTGAAAAAATGCATGTGCCATTTTCTAGTTTAAGGCAAAAGCACGTTCTTAACCAATTTGAATAAAAAAATGTTACCAGCACTGTCTGTTAGCCACTAGTTTGTGACATGAAGGCCAGTGGAAAGAATTTGTTCACGAAGATGTTGTGACACTACACGAGTACTAATACCATAGTTTAGATCTCGCAGGGATTCTTTGTAACGGGAAGCTAAAATTCTGCAAATCCTACTAGATAAATAGCGAGTTAACGCTGCGTTTTAAACAACTTACCAAATACAGAAGAAGGTTAAATGAGCCTTTTTATTTAATCTCAATATAACAGAACGGGCACAATTTGTGCTACAGATGAAACTTTCGGCACTTGTGGATCTTTAAATTAAAGTAACAGCTAGTTCAATTTAAACGCTGGTAATGCGGTCTAAGACTACATATTAAACATACTAAAAATGATCTGGCACAGATGTTTTACTTGCGCGTAATTAAACATAGGCTAACGAGAATGATAAAGCCGGAATATAATTTTTAAGCAGAGCTGCTCAAAATACTAACAGGAAGATGCGGTTTCTAGAAGCTGTAATCTAAAGAATCAAACCTGCAGCTTAAATACACCGTCTAATTTGCATTCTAGTGAGGAATGTGGAAAGGAGAAGTTATAAAGTAAGATTTTAATTAAAGAGAAATTATAAAGAAGTATAAGTAAGGAGTAAAGACTTAAATCATAATAAGGAATGAAGACTTAAATCACAGTAAGGAGTAGAGACTTAAATCATAACTCGTGAATTAACATAAAATACTTTATAACCTCAATCTGAGATCTTTAGCCAGTTACTAATATTATTGAATTATAAATAGATAATTAATTTTAAAAGTATTTAGAATCTGATCAAATTTTTGAATTAATTCGATGAAAACTAACAGCGCAAAGCACTTGATGTATATTATTCGCCAATATGAATATTTTCCTTTTAGAATCAGCAAAAAAAATTGCCTAAGTAAAATTGAAATATTAATATTAGATGGTTTATTTCTGTATTTTTGAAGAATTTTCATTTTTGAAAGAATGTGAAACCTTTTACCTGCCTTTTAAGCTTGAAACCTCTATTTTTGACCTTTTGCAAAGATAGGAAAATACGAAGGATAAGATTACGCCACTTTTGCTTTTTCATACCAGAATCCGATGACAAGGCAATTTCATTTTCAATGAAATATGAAGTGATGTTCCTTGCTTTTGTAAAACGAAAGGAAAGATTTTGTTAAATATTTTTCCCGGAAGCTTTTCTCTCCCTTACGTTCTTTCTCTCAGCATGAGAATATTAAATCGTAGTTAACACTCATAGTAAAAATTTACAGAATTTGAAACATAATTAAATGACCTTTATTTCATGTAATTAAAATAGTATTAAGTAAATTTATTAAAAAATAGTGTTAGAAATAGTATTTTAAAGAAATTTATTAACACATATTTGTTTTATTAACAAACATATTATGTATTTAAGACAGCACATACTTTCTGTGTGAATGAAACATACAGTACTTATACAGCAATAAATTACAGAAAGTTAATTAGAAGTCATGCAGACTTCCGTTATGTTAAACTCAGTAGTGTTGATGAATAAACTTCGTTTGCGATAAATTTCCTTTAGTGTTCCAACAGCTGGTTTATTTATTTTATAAAAATCTTGTTATTCATTTATTTTCATTTTTATCGGTTTTTTTTTTTTCATTTTACTGATTCTTTAATTCATTTAAGGTGTTATGGAATAGTTAAAATCAAATTTTTCTGAAATTCCTGAAAAATATATCTTGATGCATATACTTACAAATTTTTTCTTCTAATGTAGAGTTCATAGTTAATCCCCACAACAGGTGCAACTACTAACAGTGGCGTACCTAGTAAAAACAAAGTATTCATTTTAGGGTATCATTTCATAAGTATTAGCATAAAAGTAATACATAACCATTAATTAATTGAAAGAATTGTTTACAGATTACGTTATTACAGAAAGAAAAATTTTCCAATTTTTATACTTTGTTTAGAAATCATTCAAATAATTGTTTCAGAATAGAATTTTGTTCACATGTAAAAGTATTTAAAAAAAGTAGAGTCATTATTTCAACATATAGCAGTTATCAAAATATTTCAGCAATGCTTCATAAATAATAAATAAAAATGACAAACTTACAACAAGTTTTTTTACAATAATAATTTGCATTAAAGTTTTACAAGATAACATAAATTACAAGTTGAATTAAAAAGTTACAGCAGGACTTAATAAGCAATAAATTTTATTGAAAATTTAAACTTCATAAGGTAACAAAATGATGCAGTTTTTTTAATGATAATTTTTTACGAATCAAACTTACCCCAAGCAAACAGCATAGCTTTCTGTATGAAGCAAGGTATGTAGGTTCCAACGACTTTCACCAGGCTAAAGTATTGTATGATTGCCTCTACAAGCATCCATGCAAACGATGCGATGATGAAATAATGAAGAAGAATAGATGCTGCTAAACATCTGTATTTAGAATCCTTTCTTTCTATACCGACCAAAAATATGACAAGGAAACAAAGCAAAGCTATTGAAAGATTGCATAGAGCTTTGTGCTTCGTGTCTTTCCGCCATTTTCTGCAATAATATAAGCATTTATTAGTGCATTTCAATGGTAAGTATTACAGTTAATGAATAAACCATAAGAAGATTTTATATATAGATGAGGCTCTCATGGCGACCATCTCCCTAAGACAGATATGATGTAAAACGAATGATTAATATAAATAAGAGAAGAGTATTTTTAAGAACATAAATAATGTAAATAGATGTTGGTGATGAATGCCATCTTTGTTAGACGACCAAAACTTGCGCAGAAGATCAAAACCTAAATCACGTGTAGTCTTCTTAAAGTACACTGTATTTATAATAATACAATGAACCATCTCTAAGACGAGAAAATTGTTTGTTTTGTTTTGACGCTGTTTTGAATTATAAACGAAGAAACAAGATGAGAACCTGAACAAGATGAGAGTTTTAATATTTTGATATCTTGATCAGAAGAAAACGATGAATTTTGAACAAGGACTATACACCTTAGAAGAGATGCTTTCGTGACGTATTTTTGAAGTGAAATCTCACATTTATCCCATTTTACGCCATCGAATCGAAATCTCATTTTACCCCGTATTCACATTTTACACGAGAAAAACTACTAAGACTCCTTGAAAAATGTCTATTAGCCGGCAGCCGAAGCTGGACCGAACTACCAGAAGACAGCAGTCTTATCATTTCTGTCATTAGTGGACTGAGTAGTTGCTTTAAAAAAATTATTATTTCATATAAACTTATAGTGGTCAGTTTCAGAAGTGGTCATCTAGGAAAAGTGTCTCTATAACAGATTTCATTATACCTTAATGTAATAAAACAATTGGGGTGATTTACTTCATTCTCTGCGTAATAGATTACTTGGAAACTTATTAATGAAATATTCTGTATTTTATTTTCATTTTAAATTCAAAATATAAAAATTTTTCAGGGAAAAAATTCAAATCTTTTTTTTTTTTCCCCTTCTTTAAAAGTAGATTGTAAATTAATTGGTATTTAAGAATACCATTTTTAAAAGTTCACTAAGAAAAGGATTTAGATGCATTACACAATAATAGAAAAGAAAAAAAAAGGCATCTTCATTTAAAATAATGTAACATTTTCTTATATATTGAAATTTCTTGCGTAGAAAATCACATAGATTTAAAAACCAATCAATTACAAGCAGAAAAGAAATAATATATTAAATGTAACATATATAAAGATAGACAGATTCTTGTATTAAAATACTGGTCTGAAAGAAAAGCAAGTGCTTTTTTAAAACATAAAGCAATTATAAAAGTAGATTTCACACGTTTATACCTGAACACACAAAATGTCAGTACAATCATTCCGAGTCCAAAAATCGACAAAATGCAACCGAGATAAGTTATAATGCTAAGCGTAGCTTTATGGATTTCTGAAATCTCATTGCCAGGTTTCATCTCCTGAAACAAAAAAGTACAGTTTATCAATGAAGGGAGCCTGATAATAACTTTACTTTCATAAGTTTATTATACTACATTATTAAACTAGATTTCAATTAACGAGTTTTAATTCCCATGAATTGAGAATAAAATATTTAAACTTGTCGGCTAAGTGTCCGCCAATTGAAAAAACATGTATTTAAACGAACACGAAAGTGGGGAAAGATTATTTTAATAGGATTGTTGTTTAAGTTGAACATAATCATTATCCAATAGTTGGATTAATCATATCTATGATAATATTGGCCATGTTAATCATTACTCCTGTCATGAACAGGGAATTTTTAAGATTATGGTAAAAATGTTATAGGTTATATTTCAAAATTTGTTTCGAAAAATTTATAAAAAATATTTAAAAATACAAATTTAAAAAAAATAAATCATAAAAAATGTGAGAATTATATTTGTATTAAACCTAAATTTCGAATTCTGGAAGAAGGGATCAAGTAAGTTGAATAAAAAAGAGATATTAATAAATATATATCAAATTCAATTAATATTGAGAAGGTAAAATTTGAGAGTTAATTTTTTAAAAACTACTCGTGCGATTTTTACAAAACTTGGCAGTTTGGGATAATTTGTGTCGTAGAATAGAAATACGGAAAAAAATTGTCATGTCATTTCAGAAAAATTCCGATTTTGTGTCAAAATACCTGTTTCTCCGATACTTTGAGAATCAAAGTAAGGATAAAGGGTGGATAAGAGCTAGATGCGGCATGTATCCTAAATTTAACCAAATTCGAATTCTAAAAAGTTCTTGAACTTTTGGCATTTCGAATTTCTCAAATCGTTTCCATAAGAATAAAAATAAGAAAAGAAATATATAATATTGAACGTTATTAATTAAAGCAAAGCATGAAACCTCTGTCTAACAAAAAACTAATTTCTTAAAATTACATCTTCCACCCATTTATCCCCCCATATATTACATATACATATGTATGAGACATATATATGAAATTTAATAAAGGAAACAAGTAAAACTTCAAATGTTTTTAAGTTTACCAGAATCTTTTTAATATAAAGTAAGTGTAGTAGGAAGGGATGTATTTCAAGCCTTACTCTACATAAATATTAAATAAAAAAACGTAAAATTCTTATCATATAATTAAGAAGACACAGAAACTTTTTTATTTTAAGATTTCATAAATGTACTAAACATTAAACACCTTACATTAGGTTGCAAAAGATTCCAATTAAAAATTAGCGCGGAAGAACGAATTTCCAAATCTTTTTCAAAATCCGCGGGATTCGAGGATTTCAAAATAATTTATTCAATTTCAAGCACAATATCAAAACTAGAACAGAAACTTATGGAAAGCCTGCTAGATTATTTCCCAAACAGATATCAGCTACGCACAAAAATAAATATGTTAAATGATAAAAAAATTTTAAAAGAGTATAAGAAGAAAATAAATACTTCACCAGAATGACAGCAAAGCTTGTTAAATGATTACATGAACAATGTATTATATTCATGTCAGTAACAGGCCGAGTAATACATCCTTTGTACGACCACCCACCAGCATTTCTATTCAGTCTGTGGTCCCAGAACGCGCAATTCGAAGAGACAAAGTTACTCCATTTAATGTCCTACAGGAAAGAAAACAAAATCACATGGGAAATTAGGGCGAACTATGAGCAACATACATAGGCTTAACTGAAAACGAAGACGATTCTTTTAATCAGAAATAGATGATTCTACAGACATTTTTTTTCTTTTGTTAAAGTAGGGTCGCTGACACTGAATTACACTTTTTACATTGTTTCATGAGACATGTAAAAACACGAAATGGTCTATTTTGTGGCATCCTTTTTAGCACTGCGGCAGTGGCGTTTTTCACTTTTCCATCCGAAAAAAAGCTTTTTGCTGCACAGCTGCCTTTTCTTTGCTGAGAATCCTCAGAAATTACTGGCACTATGTCCATGCTATATGGAAGGCCCCACTGATTACAGACCAGTGCCGCAGCAGCAATATGCATCAGGAAATCGTCCTGGAGGAAATCCATTATTTCTTGTCCAAATCCCTTTACCTTCCTCATGGCTTCTAACAAATGTAGTTTCAAGGTGTTTGTATAATAGTCACCATTTAGTGTATTGGCAAGTTTGACGTCTGCAATCTCAATGAAATGGTCTGTCAAATTATACAAGTACTTTGTCGATCACTTGTGTGTTACCGATTTAGAAGCGTTTCCATCACTACTGAAATACCGAAGCACGGCTAAGAGTTTCTACACTGTATCGTCGAAATGTTACAGCAATTTGCAAGAAAATCTTAAAATATTTTAAAATGTTTAACGCCAAATCTAAAATTTTTAACTATAAAGACAAGGAATGTCTGCAATTAGGAATATAAAGTAAAACTGTTTCGATTTCTGACATTTCTTTTTAAAGTTGCAAAACATTGACACATAACTCAGCTGTAAGCTTGAACTCAGTTGTGTCAGTCTGGAATGTTTTATCCTTTCAATTTAGTTTTATTCTAATATTTTTTCAGAAAACAAAAAGTAAGATATTATAATATGATTTTACAGAAACTGAATACATACGATTAAGTGTAATGATATTTACATTTTCTTAGAAAGGTAACGTAGCATACAATTCAGCGTAAGTGCGAAAAAGAAACATTTTCTTTCGATAATTGCAATATATAGAAATACACTCAATTATAACTTGCGATAGCTATTTTAACTTGGAGTAATTGGAGTGTCATAAAGAACTATATTCAAAATTCTAATTAAAAGCTTATTTAAACACAATTTTATTTTTTCTTTGATTAACGTCATAATCGCTAAGACCAGAAAGATATCCAAATATAAAGCATGTACAATGAGTTTACATAACTCAGTTATACATAACTCAGTGTCGCTTAGCGTAAACATCTCTTACTAGTAGTAACTGTTTATACCAGTCTACCAACTGATATAGAAGAGAAAGTTCGTATAGTCAGTAAATCCTGTGCCCTCCTAGGTGGTAGATGAACGTCTTTTGTAACTGGTTATTAATTAGTTGTTTAAAGATTGATAGGGTTTGATACTTGTACATGTTGCAAGACAGATCACTTGCTTGTTACACGTTTAGTATTGATAAGTACTGAGCCTTAAGATTTTAAATTGTAGCTTCAGTTGTTACCACAAGGACGTCCAAAAAAAGCTCGTTTGATATTAATTTGCAAAAATCTTACTTTAATCAAAGCGATAAGTCACTAATGTATTGAGGTAATTCACAGGCCGCTAAGTGAAAGGACTATTATGAATAGGCTAAAGCAAGGGTTCTCAAACTGTTTTGTTCCATGCACCTCTTTAACCATTGCTAGATGAGCATTCCTATCTCATTCCAAAATTCGAAAAATACATAAACATTTATATAAATTTAGTTCTTTTAATGCGTTTTATACATAAAACAAGAAAAGGTATACAAAATGCTAATAAATAATATGACTTGAATAAAGGTAGTTTTTTATACTCATAAATTAAAATTAAATACTTAACAGGTATTAACAGGTATACTTAACAGTACTTAAACGGCTGAACGTATTCTCCTCCCTGAAACTATGAAATTTCCCCCTGGTTGAGAACCACTGGTATAGAACGCAGAGTGTCTAACTTACCTGAGTTATTCTAAAGAACATTCGCACTGGTGGATGGATGTCATATATGGGATCCTTTCCAAGAGAAGCTCGAAGCACTTGTGTAACATACGCTTCTTTGCGTATAAGAAAATTACTTCTTTCTGCCATGTAGACAGTACGATCTGTATTTTCGGCCATTTTTTGAACAACCAAAGAGCTTGGAAGAATAACGCCTGTCAATGCATTATTGAACTTGTTTTCGAAATCTTGTGTTGCAGTTCCATTGAATAAATTGATCCAGCTCAGAGTCCAGTTTCTGAAAACGGCACCAACTGGGATACGTTTGTCCTCAGAGTTTAATGGAAGAATGTTAACAGCAATGTTATCTCCTGATTCTTCCAATGCTTTCCCTCTTACGTTTACGTTCATCGCAATACTTTCCAAAGCATTTGTGATTCTGAAATCAAAACAATACATAGATTTTATCAATTATAGAGTTTATGATAGAAGAAAGGTAATAGAACTTGATCTTATCAGTAATAACAAGAGCAGAGTTATACAGGTGTTTAAAAAATGGCAACCGACATTATTTCCTTAAATATTGACATAGACATATAGTTTCTGTTATCAAGTTACTCAAATTAAGTAGAGAACCTTATAAATATAGTTTCAATACTGAAGGTAGGAGGGTTTCTTATAAATAAAAATCAAGATTTTATGTGGCTCCCGTACAGCAAGAAGTTCAATTAGTTTTTTATTATATTATTCGATTATTAGCTCATAATGTTTTAAATGTCAAATACAAATCATTTTTAATCTCACATACAAAATTAGCCGAGATATTAATAATTAATATTGCCATACGGCAACCTATAAATCTAATTTGCTCATAGCGAAGACACTGATTGCCACAATGAACAATTATTTTGTGGACTTTCCGTAAACTTACTGAAACTTTGATCACAATCTTTTAGAAATAGGGGTAATGAAAAGGGATATAAGTCAACAAATTTGTCTGCAAAACCTTTTTGAAATGAGCTCCTAATGTATTTAATTTGAGTTCATGATGAGGATTTTATTGATTTTTTTCTGATGTAATAAGGTAATATGAAATGTAAGATTTTATAATCAGAATTCTCCCACCTCCAATTCTGACATTGTTTTCAAAAAAGTATTTGATTTTTATTCTGAGATGTTTTGACATTGAAAGATTATGTCTAAGGACACATTTAAAGAAATGAAACTTCTTCGAATATTCTTAATGAGATTTTGAGTTAAAAAATCAATTTTAAATTTTTATCTAGTATAACCCTGAACAATACGAAATCATAAAGCATAACATAGAAGTTCATAATTTTGCACTGAGAACGGGAAGATGGTCAGTATATTTCTTTTTCAATAGTTTACTTTATTTTAGATGCTTGGATTAAAGACCGTACTAAAGGTTTGCATTAAATTTTAGAAACTAGGTTGCTCAGTACGTAATTTCTAAAATAATAAGTCTGAATGAAAGGCCGTCAAAACTGGCGAACAAAAATGAATAAATGAAATAATAATAATAATAAGTAATGCATCTTTAAAAATCAAATGAAATGTAAATAAAACTACTAATAAATTAAGTCAAGTTAATGATAAATAAGTAAAAAATTAAATTAAAATAATATAAAAATAATAATAAAATAAATTAATTAATTAGCAACAAATTAAAGAAGTATTATCCAAATCAATTGAAATAATAAAGCAAATGCAAGATCAGTAAATTCAAAAAGAAGAAGACATGGTACTAAATGTAAAGAAAGCTAAATATTTTAAACAGCATTTTCACGGTCAGATAAAAGTTCTTCCTTATTTTATCTTTTATTCTATTTCAATCTTTCCTGATCTGACGAGTGCAGCTTAATCTTTCTTGGCCAGATGGATACAGCGCCTGTAAGAAGTCCTCTCGTTGAAAGGATGACATTACGACATGTAGCTTTTTTCTTCCTCATTTATTTAAGTTTTTATGCATATTTTACTTTTCCCACAGAAAGTAAGGCAGACTATCTGGTATAATTGTCAATTTCATTAACTGTTCATAAAATGTTGCAAACTGTCTGTTAATATCGTGACTTAGTTGTACAAAGAAATACCAGAGTCCTCCTTCTTTAGAGCATTCTGGCCAGTATTTCACTCAAACATCGAGTGGAATCCAGTTTAAGTCCTGAGTTGCCCAATATAATTAGCGTTGAAAGGAAACGACTTTTTTTATTATTTTTTAAAGAAGTTAAATAAATTACCATAAAGACTGAAATTTACAATCAAAGTAGCAATTGCGGAAGGAACATTCTATGGTAAAAGGGCGTGCCTAAACAAACAAAAATAACAAGATAATATGAGCATGACCAAGAAATTAGAAATAAGCATATTGTTTTTCTTCAATCCTCGGCTTCATTTTTGGCTAAACCTCAGCAAATATATCAGTTTAAGAGCAACAGCTGTGAAATTCAGGCGCAGTTTGAATAATCTTTCAAGTGTCTCCCTTACACTTTCAATGCAAAACTTTTAGCGCTTTTAATCACCATTTTTATTGCACTTTATTTTATTTGTAATTTTTAAAACCTCAATGAATCCAATGAAATCCTTATCTTTTATACCAGATGGAAATCATAGCATTGCTTTTAAGATAATTCTTTTAACGAAGTTTCTTTTCTTAATCAAATTTTTGAATCAATTCTTTTCCTCCTTATGCAGGTGCGATTTTTTTTAAAAAGCTTTTTGAAGTACGTATTTACGATGGTAATACGACTTTCTACAGGGTATTTTAAAAATTAGATATACTAATTTTTATTTAGAGATGAAAATTTTCATATATCTTGGTTCAAGTGTCCAACTAGCCATCACAGAATTTCGACCTTTGAGCTATCGGACAGGAAACTAATTATCCAAATGAAGCGTTTTCGGAATTTCTGAAGAAGTTTACTAAATTTTAGCTTTAAAAAACGATTTTTAACTATCGGTTTTTAAAAATGAATTTTTTCATTAAAAGATCTTGTTCTTCATTGTTGAGGTCTCATGATTTTAAGTAGTAATGAAACTAAATACCTCCAAAAGAGATTTGGATGAAATAATGTAAAGTTTTGTTATTGGATAGATCCAAAGATCTTGAAAACACATGATAGTGTCAAGTTCTTGAACTATGTTTAGCTTTTATATCAGATTATACAATCTTTTATACTTTTAATGTCGTTCTTGAACTGTTTAAAAGAAATGTTTTGCATTCAGATGTGGTGATTTCCCGTATTCTGCAGATTAAAAATTATAAAATTAAAGTATGTAAGAAACGTTTTTAATTATGTGGTTTTAATAAACTATGCTAAGATGTAAAAAGTAATTTTGTTAGCCATTATAATATTCTGGGGCAAATGTGATTTAAAATCAAATCGTGGGAGTATCGATATTCGAATTCTACTAGGATAGAAGTGATGTAGTACAACATAAGCCGTATAAGTTCCGTTTCAGTAAATTTTTACAGTGCAACAGAAATGATATAGTATAAAAATGACATATTGCGTATATAAAATTAAGTTACATATACCTTTTCAGTATAATTATGAAGATAGTTAAAAAGTATTTTCTACTTTTGGTGTTTAAGGAATTATCGCGTTGTCCTGTGCTTGTGATATAACTGAAAATTATCCAGATGGAAAACAGAAGATCGAAGATTCGAAGTTTAGCGATGGTACGGCTAGCATTTCACGTTTTCTGTTGAAAAAATTCAGTAGTCTTTAAAAGTGCATTTGGTTAAAACAAACAGTTTTAAAATTAATAAATTTTTTATGTAATTTTTTATATCTATTATGAAATGTACAGGCGCGGTGGGATAGCTTCCCCGCAAAGCAATTTTAGGGTTGCCACATTTAACGAGAAATCACCCATTTGGCGACAAAATTGGCGATATGCCATGGACGGATGGAGAATCTTCTGGAACGAATTCTTATCGGTTTAGCCCACAATGTTCTCGAACACAAGCCAAAAACTATAAAAACCCTGCTGGTACGCGGAGAGAAGTTTGCCTCGTCTGGAGTGCGAGATGGTGTGTCTCATCTAGTTAGTCCGCGCGGAGACGATCGAGTTGACAGCCGGGCAGCGAGTGCCGAGTAGGTCGTTGAGTGCATCGAAAGAGTCTCTTAGTGTATCGCGGTTAGTGCATAGTCGAGAGAGTCTGCTGAGCTCCGAGAACGACTGAACCGAAGAGTCGGGAGCTGTACTCTGGTGCTTTGCAGTGAAGCTGTCTTCACCGTTATTGCCTGACAGTGTGAAGGCTGTGTCGTTGATTGTTCCAGCGTGTTTATAGTAGATCTTCGACGACTGTAAAAAGTGACTTTGGAGCCGTCCTGATTGATATTGTCTAAAAGTGTGTTTCGATACTTCATCAAGTGTCGTCGTTATTCACTCCAAATCTACAAACTCCGTACGAAAGTGAAGGAAGAAAATAACGTAGCAACTGGTGTCAGAAAAAATCGTAACAATACTTTATTTGCTTAAATAAATGAGGAAAAACACAGCAGAATTATTTGTCTCAATATAAAATAGACTGTCGAACAAACAAAACACATAATATATGAAACTTTTAAAGAGAATGTTGTTTCCGCTGATGTTTTTAAGTGCAGTTTAAAAGGTTAAAATACCTGAAAAATCTGTCTTTAATACCGAACCACTCTTCAGGAGACCAAAACGATTTGAACAACTTGATTAAGACTCGTCTCTGATATTGGAACCCTTGCAAAATGAATTTATTTTATTGTGGAAAATGAACTTACTATTATTAGTCATCAAATAAATATGTTTAAAAATCTTAAAAACATTTTAAGCATGTAGTATATGCACTTATTTTGTGAATTTATTTAAAAACTCTTAACTATTTTAAATATTTTCGAGTTAACGTGCTGCTTTGAAGTTTGAATTTAAAGCCGTCTTGTTCTAAAATTAATTTATCATGATTAATCTTAAATTCAGTTTACTTGAAAAACTTGCCTATAGGATGTGCTTGAAGATATTTCCTTTTTGAAGAAGACAGAATGATTTTCAGGTTTACCATCGACACTCTGGACAGCATAATGAAGAACCTATAAAAAGATAAGGAGTATCCATATGGTGAAGAAGTAACACTAAACGAAAAGAAGTGCTCAATCCGCTATATATTTTTCTGTTTCATGAAATTTGCATAAATACAGAAATTCGTAACATTGTTCCTTTCCAAGGACTGTACGTCCCGTGCAGTACAATCTCTGGACAGGAAGCCATACTTACAACCAAGAAAAAAACAATGAAATAATATGGTTATATTTATACACCAAAGGAGTAAAGCTAATAAGAAGGTAGCGCCATCTGTCAGCAGAAATAGTAACAAAAGTTGAAAAATTATGTTAAAAATTTTAAAAGCGTTAGGAAATAACCGAATTGTAAATAAAAAAATTAATTAAACAAGATAAATCTTTGTGAATATAAAAAGCTTCAAGGAAATGTAATTTACTAATCGAAGAAGCTTTTTGAATCATTTTTGCGTACCCAAAGTCAAAATTATGATTAAATTTCCAACTATGATTAGCTACAGACTTCAATTTTGGAAATAAAACTCGTATTCCTTGATGAGAAAAATTAACGCTTTTTTAGTTTGGCAGACATATCTTAAGTTTATCCACAGTAAGAAAATATGTTATAAATTCCCAAAGAATTAAAGCCAGAAATAGAATCTTACAGAATAGAACTATAGATTTTATTGATAGGCGAGAATATGTCTTGAAAACTGTACTTCTAGAAAATTCAAGCACTTTTGTAATTGACAGGTGGATTAAAATGGAAGCACGACAATGTTATTAATGTTATTTTTTAATGTTATTAATATTATTTCTAATTTCTTAGATAACTATCACCTTATATTCTGTCAAAGTAGGAATGTAATTTGTTATAAAAATACGTATGCTAGTATGCTGATTTGTTAAATAAATGCTTACTTACAATGCTGCTTTGTTAGTCTGCACTTAGTGTATAGTTTTTCGTTTCGTACGTTACATTTGCATAACAATTCTCATTAACTATATGAAATAATACCTACTTGAGGGTCGGTGGAAGGAATTTTGGCAATGTTTTCCAAAACCCGCACTATATAGTTAATATCTATTGGCTCCAGTTCTTCAGGCGATGAAGTAAGCTTTGACAATGTTTTTGCAGAATCCAAAATATTATCTTCTGTTATTTTTCGCTGTAAAAATAGAGCAAATTTAAGCAAAACTACTGGTTATTTTTTTCTATATAATTTCAGATCAAATGTTTAAAGAGTGCGGTAAACTATGCTAACATCTAATATCTTCATAAATTAATAACGTCCAATTAACATTTAGACATCGAAATTAAATTCCAGTTTCATTTCAAAAGTATTAAAAAAATGAGTTGAAATTCACTTTTAGCAGAGGAATAAAAATCAAAGTGTTGTATTATTATGACCTTTATTTAAATGCATTTCATTTTTTATGTTATATAAAAGAACAAAACCTATGACCGAAAAAAATAATGAAACATGAATTCAGCTTTCAACGAAGAGTTGGAAATTACCGGCTGAATCCGTAGTCATTAAGATTTTGGACAGAAAAATCACATGCGTCGGAAAATTCTTAACTGTGGGCTAAATATGCTGGCCATTATGCCAAAATAGATGGTGTGATAAGATCGCATAGAGGTTCTTTGTCTAGGATGAATAATTTCAGAATGCATTGGTGGCTCTTTCAGATTAATGGTGAAATCTTGTTGCCATGAGGTGCCTTTGTTAATGAATTCGGTTGCAGCCTGGAAGGTCACTCCAAGGGACAAAGAAATTAAAAAAGTCTTTTCATCAAGCAGACTTCGGACTTCGACTTGCTTTCAACTTCGACGGAAAAAATCTGACTAGACTTGGACGACATTAGATTTTTTGAATTACGATATTATTTGAATTTTGTGATTTATTGTGATTCTACTATTTAGTGGTGTGTGTTTCTGCAATTTGTGATATTTAGTCATGGAATGAAATGATTTTGCCCCGCTTACTTAGTTATCAATCTTACAATCAATCTTACAATGTGATCGCTTACAGAAATGCTGTTCTTGACGAAAATCGGACCGACCTAATTAATAAAGAGGGTTACCGATTAAATGATTTCACCAATGCAAATGCATTTGTGCGAAGCGATTACTAAGGATATTAATTCGAAAAGACATATGTGTGCTATGAACCTTCAGCTGATACAAGATGAAGATACCAAGACTATCATAGATCTTCCAGAAAACAAGGACTATCGCAGAATGTCTCCTGAATGTTCTAAAAGCTAAGTGCAAATATTATCGTAATTTGAATCCAAATGCTAATAATATTATGTTAAGGATGGTGTATTGCAAAGATTTGATCAAAATGCTAGTGCTACTAATGATAATGCTGCTAATGTTAACTCTGAAAATGCTAATATGACTGATGTTAATGATAAGATTAAACCAAAAGCTAAACGGTAAATAAAAGATCAATCAATGGTGCAAGGGATGAGGGTGACTTTATTTTGCCTAGAAATGCCTTACGCCGAATGAAAATTCTTAAAAGTAATATTGATATCCCTCTGACTAAAAATTTGAGAAATTGTCATGCAATAACGTTCATAATAATGATTCTGATGATGTCCAAATATTAGATGATTCTATGGATACCCAAACTGGGCCTAGTAATGATATTAATGTTGTCCAGCCCCCCCCCCAAGGTGAGACCAATAATGGTAAAACCTGAGATTAAATATAGTGACTTTCTTAAAATATTAAAAACGGAAACTAAACGTGACTTCGCAGGCAAAGTTAATGGTGAATTTTTAAAGATTTTCCCTACCCCCGCAGATGACCACAGAGAAATTACCAGATATCTGGATTCTAAAAAAATTGTCCATTATGTCATCTTAACTAAGCTAGATAAGCCAATTAAAATTGTAATCCGTGGGTTGCCGTTTGACTGCCCTAAAGAGGAAATCTCAGATAAATTGTATAACTTAGGATATAAAGTTAGGCGAGTAGCCCAAATGCACAGAATTAAAACGAAAGCGCCAATGCCCCTTTTCCAGGTGCAGCTAGAAAACACCTCGGGTGTTGAACAAATTTATGACATTGTAAAATTTAGAGGTTTTTAATGTTAAATTTACTGTATACCAATCTAATGGAAGTGTTGTGCAGTGTCACAACTGCCAACACTTCCATCATTCATCATAATTTTGTAAGTTGAAACCCAGATGTGTCAAGTGTGCTGGGCCACACAAAACTACAGAATGCTCCTCTAAACGATTAGAAACAGTCAAGTGTTGCAAATGTATGCACGTCGGACGCACCGCGAACTATCGTGGGTGTCCGAGGTTCCTAAACAATAACAATGTTATTAAACCTGGTGGTAAAGCATTAGCTAAAAGCTCTGATCTCTCTAATATTGACAAATCCGAACAGAATAAATCTATGACCATCAATGGCATCTCATACGCTTCTGTAACTAGTAATTCAAAAACGGATATACAAAACCCCAAACCGCAGATGCAAGGTTCTGTTAAAAAGCAAACGGTTATTAAAAATCATACCCAAAATGACTTTATCAATTAATATTGATATTATACTATGAAATTATTTAAAGAAATTGGAAATGTGTTTAAGGGGTTATCCCTTGGTAATATTGTTAAAAGAAATCTCTGTACGAATGCCTGAATTGCAGGCAGCTAATAACGCTATTGATAAGTTATTTGGTGTATATAAAATATTTGAAGATATATTTTTTCTTGAATAGTGGTAATAATGAATAATTCTATAAACAGTTGTATAAATATTTTTACATGGAATGTGAACGGACTGTCTCGGAAAATTAATGAGCTCCGGGACTTTATAAATGAGTACGACTCTGACATTTTCTTCCTACAAGAACACTATCTTGGCCCTGCCACCCCTATCTTTACCCAAAACTACGCTGTTCACCGATTTAACAGACCTCTGACTGCCAGACACCCAAGAGGAGAAGGCACTGCCCTTCTGATTAAATGCCGCATCTCTCATAACTCTGTTCCAGTTCCACAGCTTTCAGCCATAGAAGCCACAGCTATTTCACTCATAACACGCACTTCCACAACATACATTTTTGTTTCCACATGCATTCCACATCCACTTAACTCTCACTCAGTCCTTGCGGACTTAAAGGTTCTACTCTCATTTGGCACTCATGTTATTATAGGTGAAGACCTAAATTCTAGACACCGAGCTTGGAACTGCTACAATTCAAATGACACAGGACGTGTAATTTTCAACTTAGCCAACTCGGCGAATTTACGCATAGCATCTCCAAAAACACCAACACGGTAGACCGTGAACTCCACGGGAATCATAGATTTCTTCCTGCTCAGAAACACCAGCATTCCGATGGATGTTTCTGTGCTGGATGAACTCTCCTCTGACCATAATCCGGTCAGAATGATTCTGGATGTTTGCAGTTATACCTCATCGGACACAAGAACCTACACTACTCCACAAGTTCGCCAAAGCTCTAAACAACTTTCAATACACACTCCCAACGATACACTCAAGGGATATTGATAGTTTAATTCATAACTATATTGATAGTTTAATTCATAACTATATTGATAGTTTAATTCATAACTATATTGATAGTTTAATTCATAACTTCACAACTGCCATTACTACTGCTCACTGCTCACAACAATGCAAGGAAAGAACTACCAAGAAAACGTAACTACAGAAGCAAGGAATTACAGCAGTTAATAAAACAACGTAATGCAGCCAGAAGGCATTTCCAGTGAACCCATAACCGGGAGAACAAAAACATATTCAACATGCTTTGGAATACTGTCAAGTCACTTTTAAATACCCAAACACAACAAGACTGGACTAACTACCTCAGTTCACTTTCTGCAGATGACAACTCATTGTGGAAAGCCATTAAAAGGTATACGGAATGGTACAATAACATTCCGCCTCTTAAAGGCCCACAAAAGATCCATTACACTGAAATTGAGAAAGCAGAACTGTTAGCTATGCATCTGGAATCTCAATTTCGCAGAAACAACTTTCATGACACTACAACAGAAAATCTATTTCATAGCTTTCACTCCAACTTCTCAACAAATCCAAGCACTGACAACATCATTCCAGCCTTACCGTCGGAAGTCTATGCGTACATCAAAAGAATCAAGAAAAAGAAAAGTCCTGGCATAGATTGCATCACCAATTGCTTGATAAAAAAGCTCCCAGTCAAGACCATTTTCACTATTACTAGAATTTGCAACCTTATTCTAAAATGGCAACACTTTCCTCAACCTTGGAAGACTGCGAAGATCATTCCGATCCTCAAGCCCGGAAAACCTCCATCTAAACCGCCCTATCACTTTACTCTCTTCCATCAGTTTTTACTGTGAAGCTATCCTGCTCAGGAGAATCAACGACCACATAGAAAGCAATAATATCATCAGACCACACCAGTTTTGTTTTATGAAGCAACTCTCAACAACTAACCAGCTCTACCGAATAGTAGAAACCATATCCGAGGGAATGGCAACACGCAAGATCACTGGAGGACAGTTTCTAGACGTAGCTAAGGCTTTTAACCGAGTCTGGCTGGATGCTCTCACCTACAAATTACACACGCTGAGCTTCCCAGGCTACATCATTAACAATATTAATTCCTACCTAACCGGTAGACACTTCGTCGTTCACGTTTCTGGCACAAACTCCACAAGCCATGCCATCCTGGCTGGCGTTCCACAAGGATCCTTACTTGGACCCACACTTTTTAATATTTACGTGAATGACATACCATCCACACAGGACACAACATTAGCTATGTATGCAGACGACACTGCGATCCTAGCACAAAGTGCATTCATAGGTCCAGTCATTCAACGATTACAAAACTACATCCATACATTAGAGACTTATCTTACAAAATGGAAAATTCAAGTCAACGTGGATAAAACATTGGCTATTATGATCACCAAAAAAGCAAATTCAAGGAAAATCTCATCTTCAGTGGCACCCCTATTCCTTGGGCCAAGCAGGGGCACTTTAATTATCTTGGGGTGATCCTCAACAAAACTCTTACATGGGCCCCACACATTACATTTATTATACAAAAGTTCGTAAAGCTAAACTATACCCTTTACTTGCTCGAAACAGTGTTTCATCAATTGACAACAAGTTACTCATTTATAAGTCTGCTCTCCGTCCATTATTATTGTTATGCTAGTCCAGTTTGGGCCCATACAAAAAATTTTATAGGGAAAAATTACAGACCTTGCCAAAATTCTATTCTTAGGCAAATAGTTAAAGCGAACTGGTATATCCGCAACAATAGAATTGATGAAGAACTGGGCATGGAGCAACTGCGCTCACATTATTATAAACTTGCTAAAAGCTTTCATGAAAGACAAAGAACAATTAACAACCCGGCCATTAAGATTTGCAATTATGACTACAATGACCTAACAAATATGGACAGGCCCATGGCCCAACTGAGTGTATATCTTATGTAATATTTATTACAATGCCTTTATGGTTTATGTTAACTTTCTCTTATTGTATCTGCTATGCATTCTTTTTAGTCTTACGTTCATAGTATTTATGTCTTACTTATCAGATTCAAATTACCAGTGTTTGGCCTAACCTTGCCTTTATCCACACGCTCATCAGATCAACGACTTCTGGATGCATTCATTTGACACCGCTTAACACTTTAATTAGCATTTCCTAACATCTGGCTTCAGTATGAATTCTAAATTATTAATTATTCACTTTAAAATCTTTATTATAAAAAGCAAATTATTTTAGATATCTTTTAGGTTATTTCATCATACCATTCGCAATTCACAAGCTGTTCTACAAGGGGTAGAGCCTTTGTCGCTCAGGTACCCTGGTGTACCAAACACCGTTCCACGGAAAAGAGAGAAGTCTTCATGAGGGTCAGAATATGGACACCTTTGTTATGTACGAGTGAAGGAATCTTCCCCCCTCCGGGAGTTCAGCTCAAGTAACCACACAGTGAGAGATAAAGGTTTTTCTTGAGAAGAGCGAAAACTTTTCTTGCTGGAGCCATTGGCCATATTGGCCTGCTAGAACTATCCCTCCTCCTGTATAATGCGATAGAGCATTTTTCTTGTTAATAAAATTCTGAAATTACGTGACTGAATGTATTTAAGTCCCACATCGTCTGGATATGCACTTGTTAATGTTTTTATCTTAATTCCTTACACCATTGTCGTCCACCACGTTTCATCTTAGAGCAATAGTAAAAGCACATAGGATTTTTGAAGCAAAGAATACTTGAAAAGTCTATTAAAATCTTCACCAGAAGTCTAATCTGAGATTTCAATATTATGCCTGATATGCTGACTAGGATACCAACAAGGCGCCTGGAAGAAGTCCTTAATTCATTACGATCTAAATGCTGACCGCACGATTAAAGTTATTTTTCATGAATATGATTAATGTTGTTTTATGAATTAGCCCCAAACACTGCAAAAGTCCAAAACTGAAAACTAACTTTACATACAAAATTTCATATGAAACTTTTCATGTTAAGGGAAATGCATTTTTAACAAAACTTTAAAGTAAGTTACACTACAGTCCTCCCTTTTGCAACTTTAAAAATCACAATTCTTAAAATTCTGTTTCTAATCTATATAAAACTAATTAGTTTTCAAGAATTCCACTTCACTATACTGGGATTTTGATTTATCACTCTCATATCCGCAAGTTAGGCTTACAAGTTTGTCCACAAATATCGACATACAAATTGCTAAAATAAGAAAAAAAATTTACATTTCCTTAAAATTATGAGTTCAAATATTTTAAAGAGCAGCACTATTAAACGGAATGTGATTATTTTCATTTTTTGCTAAGCAATTAAATTAAATAATGTATCAAAGGTAAGTCTCGAGTTTTTGTGCAGCTTTGAAAATGTAACGAGACTAGTGCATTTTTCTAAGCAATTCTTAAATAAAAAACTCATTAAAAGCTAGATATGTTCGATCATTTATCATTCAATTAGTTCTCAAGGTTATTCAACGACGCAAGACGTTGAACATATTATTCTTATTTTTTACCTTATCAAATGACATATTATGTATTTCTGGACCGAAAAAAGTGCACATTTTGTAAACAAATAAATCTATATTTTTGGAACAATCTTTTGGTTCTATCCTTTTGGAACAATTTATAAATACATATACCTATATACAGGGTGAGGCAGAGCAGTTTGCTTATTTTGAAATTCAATAAAAGAAAAAGTAATGCATATAATATATTTAATTCTTTGAACAGCGTCAAGTGCAACATGTTAAGTTTATGTTTACACTGTTTTAAAGATAACATCAGGTAGATAATATCATGTATACGTAACGATCAGAAGTCACTGCAACGGCCCGCTCGTTTTCTTCAAAAAACCATGGTCCATTTATTCCAACTTGCGATATTGCACACCAAATAGTTACACGTTCTGAATTTAAGGAATGCTGAGGAAGTCGCCTAGGGTTATTCATGACTCCAATAGCGTATGTTCTGCTTATTTACCGATTCCGAAAGATGGAAGTGTGTCTCATCACCGAAGAAAACAAGCGCGTCCTCAAGCATTGCAAAAAACTCTTCACATGAATTTTCTCTAGCAATAAAATCACGTGGATTAAGTTCCTGTACTACAGCCAATTTGTAAGGATGAAATTTCAGTTCTTCATGAAGGCTTCGTCTCAAACATCGAACGGACAACCCAACAGCAGCGGCATGTTTCCGAGCAGAGCGCTTAGGAGATTGCAAAACAGAAAGCTTTACCATGTCTATGTTTTGTGGTGACCTTGTTGTTCATGGATGAAGCCCAGGTTTCCTCTTCTTCACATCACCAGTTTCCCTGAAGTTGTTTACCCACGAACCAATCGATTGCTGCCAAGGGACACGACCATTTCGTGGTATGGCATAAGGTGTTGCATGGAAATAGACATGCGGTGAATATTCTGCTCCTCTTTCAAATGTTTTGGCACCCATTGAGCATAAACCTTGCGGTATCGCAACCTTTTTACGCAGTATTGTGTGCACACTTCCTATGCTCATAGACATTTTCTCCGCTATTTCTCGAGTGCTTATTCGCCGATTCATTTTCACCACACGTTCCACATCTGCAACTGCTTCATGGATGATCACTACATGCGCTTGACCAGGTCGTGGCCTGTCGTCAGTGCTGCTCCTTACCCTACGAAAATCCTTACACCATCGGAATACCGATCTGCGTTTCATACACTCCATGCCATACACAGTTTTGATTCGACGATAGATTTCAGAAGCACTCACATTTTCCGCTATTAATAGTTGCACGACGGCTCGTTGGCACAGTTTGGAGGCATCCATGATGCGAACGATGCTTTGTAGCGTGCTCCGACGCTATCACACACGCATTTGGCGGGATCTGACGATATAGCATGCCCTCCCAGCACCCTGCGCCCTCTATAGGAGCATGCGCATCATCTTTGTCTTCAAAGGGTGCAGTTATTACAACAATGCCACTTTCATTTGAGCGACCCTTATAGAAATGTTGCCATTAATGAAGCTTTTATAAAACAATAATCAGAGCTCGACACAGTATGAAACGTTCAAAACTTATTTCTTGCTAGAGACTCTTACAAGATCTTATTTCTTGCAAAATCTCTTTCTTCCGAAACATACATGCATGTTAATCAATCTAACTAAATCTTAACTAAAATAAAAAAATAGAAAAATAGAAGAAACCACTGGACATAAAATATATCTAGAATATATATACTATCTTGTGAATAGATAGTTTGCTTGTGCTTTAAAGTTAAAATTACATAATGGATTTGTTTTTGGCTGCTTAAACTTACATTTGATAATTTGTAGAGATTTACAGTTAAATTTGTGGGTCTTTCATAGCATTGGTCAACAACGGCTCCCCAGTATGCTCCACTATTAAAGTCTCCTAAGCATTTTCGTTGCACAGCCTTTCCATCACCTGAAATTAAATGATTGACCTGAAATTAAATCACCTGAAATTAAATGAAATTAAATTGGTTTCAAGCACAGTTACGCAAAACAAAAGAATTAAATATGGAGGAACATATAATATTTTATTCTATTATTATTAACAAAAATAATTTAATTCCTAAACTAAAGAAATTGTTATTAAAAGTATAATAAAAAATTTAGTACATATTGCAAAGCAAAGAGAAAAGTTTTCATATAAAAAGTAAAAATTACAAGTGTTTTTTTTTTAATTTGGTGTCTTTGTTTTTTGCTTGGCAGCAGTCTTAAAATTAATATTAGATCCTCTTCTATCGATCTAAAATTTCCGATAGTTTTACATATACGCATTTGTGGTGACAATACAGAATTTCGCTAGACATTTTTTTTTTTTTTTTTTTTTTTTTTGAAATAAGATATTAGTATTTGCGTTACACTGCAGTTTTCTATATGAAATTTTTTAAAATTCAGAAATTTCAAGTTCACTTTTGACGATAAGGTTTGTTTTAAAACCTTTTGCAAGACCATGTAATTCTTTTTCAGATAGAGGAATAATTAGCTGAACATCTGTTAGGAGTATGATGCTAGTTTACGTTACCAAAAAGAAAAAAAAAAAAAAAAAAAAAACATTCTAGGGACTCTTTAATATTTTATGATCAGTTGCTATATCAGTTATGGCAAAACAAGGAAGGATTATTTATCTAAAAGATAAAAGGATGCCTTTGTGTAGAACTTTTTAGTACGGTATATGCCTCGTCTTCCCATTATCCACAAGGAATCCACGAAAAACTCATATAATCACTCTGTTCTCTAGCCCACCAGCGGCCGAGCGGTAAAGACGCTGAACACTGGTAGTTCGGTCTGAGGTTCGAATCCCGCGAACGGGCTGGCTGCATGGGCGTTTTCGTGGTTTTCCCCATGTGTAACGTGGTTTTCCCCAATGTGTAACGTGTATACGAGCCAGTTTCCCTTAGAAAGTCCTCCACGAAAGGCATCCCTCCCTTTAGGCAGATAGCCCTCGTGTGCTTTGCCATAACTGAATAATCCACTCTGTTCTCTACTATTTGGAACCGGTCGTACTCGAGTGTTCAACATGCTTTTCAGATAAACAGGTGGACTAAATAATCTAGTCTCTAGTTTTTCAAGCAAGTTCAGATAAGTTTTATTCAGCCCTTCAAATGCATATTAATGATAAAGGCAGTATTAATAAAAAATTTATTACTGAGAAAGCACAATTTCGGGCAATCGCACAGGCCAATCGCAGAATAAATCGTCAGATTTCTAGTATTTACATTGATAATTTGACGAGTGGTCCAAGTTGAAGGATCCATTCTAACACTCCAAATATTCATATAATATGAATACGAAGAGTTTTGTAATTTATACTAACATTAAAGGATTTGGTTCGCAAAAAAGGTTAATTATTATGTGGTTCTCATCTTTCAGATGCATTCTTTTTACTGGACTATTTTCTGGATGCGTTAACTGTATCTTCTCTCTAAAATTGCATGTATGTTTTAAAAAGTAGTATTAAAATGATTGAAATATGTAAGATAATCTAGGAGCTCTATTCTAACGCCTAGAAACTAAATTTGCGGATTGCTTTGTTATTCAGGGAACATTTTGACATATGTGAAAACTCAAAATTTTAAATCTTTTCTTAAAATTTTCAAAAATATTCGCGAAATTCCATTCAACGCGTTAAATTTACTATCCAAATAACTATACATCATTGTGCTATTTTTTAACATTCGAGATAACGATAAACTGTTATTTAAAGGCATTTTGCTACTTTCGTAAAAGCTAGCTCAAACAAAACTTTCTAAATTTTATCTTTTGATGGAAGACGTAAATAAATGTTATCTCTAAGCTGTCAGATTTATTGAAGTTTTTAGTGATCTGCTGGACACTTGAGTCATTCTTGTAAAGCAGCGTTGGCCTGTGTAAACTGTGGACAAGCTCATAGCCAGGATAACTGCAAAGCAAAGACTCCACACTGCGTCAATTGCGCAACTCACAATAAATCCAAAGGCACTAGCTTCGACACCACACACCCGTCTAGTGCAAGACAATGTCAAGCCTACAAGGCAGAACTGTTCAGAATGAAATCAACGGCGCAGTGGTAGCTGAACAGCAGGCTATTGCATATCCAAGTACAGTACATGGTTTTGCAATTCTTCAAAGCAACTTGCAACGCAGCCCAAGCCGCAACTGTCCATGCAGCCCAGGTTATTCTAGAAAACAATGTAGATCTAGCCGCACTACAAGAGTTTCATTCCATTAACAACAGGATCACAGGATTCAGCAACTTCAAAACTTACCATTCAGTAGGCAATCAAGCAGCCATCGCCTACCAATGGTCCACTCACCGCCCCTGCTAATGCATAAAGGAGATTACACAGTTACTGTACAACTGGAAGGGCCTTATGGTCAAATTGCCATCACCAGCGTGTATTTTCCTCCTTCGCACGACATTGACACTGCACTCCAGGAGCTGGAACAAGTCATGATGATTCCGACTAGGAATAAGATAATCGCTGGGACTTTAACCGCTGCTAGCCCTCTATGGGGGTGCGCCAGAGGAAAACAGGCGTGCTTGCCCTGTCCTTGACTTCATCACTTCTCATAACCTTGCAGTCGTCAACCCCACCGACAGCCCTCCTACATACTGGACTACCAGGGCTCAGGGGTGGCCTGATATCACTTTAGCCACCACTGGCATTCTTAATAATATTCACAATTGGAAGGTTAGCGAAACTCCCTCGTTCAGTGACCATCGCTACATTGAGTTCAGAATAGATTCGGAGCACCAATTTATAACAAAGCACAGATGGAAAACGAAGTATATAAACCTGAACAAATTTAAAGATGCACTTTCAACCCATATTGAAAGTCTCGTGGCACAATGTAACAATTGCAACAGTAGTAAAGACATCGACGCCATGCATGAAGATCTTATGCAAACACTGCTCTCAGTGTGCGAAAAAGTCTTGAAAAGGAAACATTACGCAGCCCCGAAATGCACTCCTTGGTGGAGCACCACGCTGACTGCTGAACGCAGCAAAGTCCGTGCCCTAAGGCGCAAAATGCAAGCATGCAAGGATCCCTTAGAAAGAGAGACACACTCGCTAATTTTTTTCGAAAGCACAGAGCTGCTTACAAAAGACAGATTGCAAAAGCGAAGTTTTTCATCCTGGAAAGAGTACTGTACCAACACTGCGAATAAGTTCGGAACTGTCTTCCGTATTGCACATGACAAGATGTTTACAACCTACTAATCTTACTGCCACAATAAGCCACGGAGCAGCAACTATCACAGAAATAGTTGCGCACATTCTGGACAATATCTTTAGACCTGATAACGCAGACACAGATAATCCCGCACAAAGAAATATCAGAGCCAGCGTTGAGCAATATTTACAATACCAAGAAAAACAGATTTTGAACCACTGCCTAACGCCAAAGAATAAGCGACATTGTTAAAGCGTTAAACACCAATAAAACACCAGGTCCTGATGGGATAGATAATGGCATTCTGCAAGCCATTAACAGTATGCATCCGGAGTTACTGCATGCCTACATCACTGCATGTTGGCGCAACAGATATTTCCCAGCCGGCACGAAACTTGGTGAGGTGGTGCTCTTCCTCAAAGCGAAAAAAGACCCTAATGTACCAACGTCTTACCGGCCTATTTGCCTTCTTCCTGCCTTGGGTAAAGTACTAGAAAGAGTCGTCCTTCAAAGACTTAAACACTATATCCTGTCTGGACAAAGCATAAATGACAAACAATACGGCTTCATTCCTGGCAAATCGGTGGATCACGCGCTGCAGCACCTACGAAAATTAATAGCAAATAACAGAATAAATAACCAACATAGTCTCATTATCTCTGTGGATATACAAGGCGCTTTCGACTCGTTGTGGTGGCCCGATGTACTGAAGAGATTACAGGACATGGGTAGCCCTAAGATTCTCTTGGACCTTATTTACAGCTACCTAAGTGATCGCCGCTTACAAGCCACTACGGACGCAGGAGTACACTCACGTTCCATCAATAGAGGCTGTCCTCAAGGATTCTGTCTGGGTCCACTGCTCTGGAATCTTGTAGCGGACACAGCGCTGACCCTCTTTAACACAGATCCTCACACGGAAATACTGGCTTATGCCGATGACTTTTTGCTGGTAACCAAAGGGCACAGCCGCAACGCATATGAGACTAGGGCAGCAACAAGCAATGGACAAAATGGCCAAATGGGCCAATTGACCATAAGTTAACTTATTGCCAACTCAAAAACCCAAGGTATGCTTATCTGTCCAGGTAAGCGCCATCGAAGAACCCCGTGCATCAACCTTCATGGGAAAAATATTAAAATAGTCAGAAACTTGAGGTACCTTGGAGTTATAATTGACGACACATTGACTTGGATGCCACATTTAAAGGAGGTCAAGGCACGACTTCACAGGATATTTCATTCCATACTCAGAACAGCAGCACCAACATGGGGAGTTTCTTCGAAGACATAAGATGCTTAAGACGTGGTACTCTGTAGTTGCTGAACGTATTGCACTACATGGAGCCTCCATGTGGGGCATAACGAATCACTACTAAAATGGAGAATCTGCCACGCTCAGCACCAAAGACCATTCCTCCTGAGCATTACCCGAGGATATAAAACCTCGCCCACTAATGCTCTAAACGTGATTTCAGGACTACTACGCCTCTGCATCTCTTAGCTCAGCGCGAGAGTGCAATAGTGCGAGTGCTCCGACTCAAAGAGACAATAAGTTTATGGGATAGGAACTTATGTTTATACTGACTATGAGCAAAGCATTCCCGAGCCACCTTGCCACCCGGCCGAATTCAATATCTTAGATTAACTGCAGGTCACCAACGTGGTTCAACGCCACTGCAATCTACACCGATGGTTCCAAAGGAGAATGTGGCACCGGTAGCGGATACTGTGTTCTACTTGGGAACCAGATCTTAAAGACCTGGGAAAGAAAGCTTCAGTTTTTCAGGCTGAACTGATTGCATTAAAAGCTGCACTTGTCTACGCACTGGAAAATAACTATTCCAGTATATATTCAGACTCAGCCTCTAGCCTCCAGGCAATCCAAGGCAAATGTAGTAAAAATCCACTCGTCAGGGCCATACAAAAACTCTTACTAAGAACACCTAAATACTATAGGCCTGAACTCCAGTGGGTACCTGCCCACACTGGAATACTGGGTAATGAAATTGCAGATGCAATAGCCAAAAGAGCAGCAACTGACCTCCACGTTCACACACTTGACGTGCCTCTCCCGGGTTCGTTCTTAAAAGCTGAGCTCGAGAGAGAATTACTCAAACGTTGGCAACATCTGTGGGAGACAGAAACCACCGGCAGAAGAGTTTACAGATTTTTTTCCAAAAGTCTGCCGGCTTCTAAAATCTGGCTCGTCTCACTTCACTCAGTATCTAACAGGACATGGTCCCTTCATGACTAAACCTGCATCGCTTCAGACGACGCGAAAACGAGCATTGCTCATGCGGGATGGTAGGAGATCCGGACCACTATCTGTTCGCTTGCAGAGAGACCGCTAAATATCATCTTAGGCAACCAGTAGCAAACCACATCCATGCATGGGCCGAAGCTACTTCAAAAAATCGCAATGCATTGAAACGCATATGCGATTGCATAAACATTGCACGCATAATCTCAGACAGGCTGGAGTAATTCTCAGCCACCATCCTCGTCACCAGCACAGCCCCTGTATGCTCTGTACCTGTAGCGAACTAATTTTATCTTAAGTTAGCTTATTCGGCTTTTCTTATTCCCTGTATATATTTATCTTCTTGAACTGTAAACCTTGAATTATGAACCTTGAACTATGTATTTTGCCTTATTTTATGTATTGTTTCCACTGTTTTCCTTTTTTTTATTTTATGCATTGTTTTACTTTCTAGTATTTTACTTCTTGTTACTTTTAGTATTTGTAACCACCTATCCATTACTCTGTAAATATGTAACTGGAATTGTTCTTCACGCCCGAAATGCACCCTTCTTCCATCATGCGCTATCGTCTTCGTCCAGCATTTGTTTGCACTGCCCCCAGCAGTCGTCTTGAGCACAATATGTATTTATAAGTGTGTCTTTTGTTCAAGTTATTTCCGTCAGCGGGGCTACCTGGCCGATATGCTAACTACCCAGTGGACCGGCTGCCTCGCTGTCGGTGGAAAGAAAGAAAGTGATCTGCTGGCAACAGAAGGAGAGCATAGCTCTAAAATTAAACAAGCAGTTTAATGCATGAGTTAATCACATTTTTTTACGAGAACCATAATTCATTGACTTTTTTCCAGGATTTCTTGACTAAATTGTTTCGAGTCCACGAACCCCGACTCGCACTGAACGCGTCCTTTATCAATTTCTGTGACTCGATACGTATTTGGCCGGCTTGTCAATTTTTTGTTGTTGTTATTATTGTGACTTATCTCACTTGTCTGACAGTAACACCAGAACAAGTCCACGGAATTTATCTTGCAAAGAGTTCAAGATTGCGTCTGTGGTTGGCAACTGCCTTGAGCACAATACAGGTAACAGCATGACTTTGCTCAGTTCCACCCCCAGTTTTGATACAGAACACCCCATGGTTGAGGGACGGGTCCGAGAATCTGAATTTAAATGTCTCCCAAATAATCAAAAATGTATTTATTCTCAAACGATTACATGCATTTAATATATATTTAGTACATTTTTAATTCAGAAAAATAAAATTTAGTTAAAAATATGTACAAATGCCAAATTTACTTCCAAAACAGTTATCCAGTTTATGATCTGCTGTAAACGTAGATCATTTGAAACATTCTTGAGTAGAGTCTGTTACTTGGATTTATTAGTTTAGTCTCTACTCAGTCTCAAAATTGAGTCATTCTAAATTACGTCCTGCTAATTAATATTTGTTCCGATTTCAAGACTTTGAGTCAGATAAGCAAACTTTTGAGAAAGTTCAGAATTTCTTGAGAAGGATTTTAAGATATGTGTCATGAATATATTTGGATATAGGAGCATAATAGTTAAGATTGAATTTCGTAAAAACAAGGAGGATTTATTTAAAAAAAGATTTAAATTCCACTTAAAAATTTAGAGCTTTATGTTTAGTACGAAGCAAAATGTATTTTCCGTGTCTGTGAGTGGTGGGAAATAGACCGCTATGGTTAGACAAAAATTCTACAACTTTACCTTTTATGCACAACTCTTCCGAAATAGCTGTTTGTCCAATAGGCGTTGATGGCCATGTTAGTTTTGTTGCATTAATGATGGTTCTACTCCGCTGGCATGCCACTAAGAAATCACAATGAAAAAATAAGTTATATTGAACAAAATATTCTATATAAAATAATATCATAAAATGGGTAAAAGTGGCAAAATTGATTAGTTAGTAAAAATAATGTTAAAACTTAAAAAAAATAGGTCATTATTAATATTGGTGATTCATTTTTAAAATATGAACAATATTAAATGTGATTATAAACTTGTACATTACTGTATCTTATATGTTGTATGAGAGGTTAATTTCATAATCATATACAGTATATATGTCGTATGCTTCGGTGCATATATATATATATATAGTATCTAATAATAGCATTTTATTATAGACCAGTGCTTTTTTGTGCTAAAGAAGCGCGAGATTATGTAAATTTAATTAGCATATTGAATTATTTAGAAAAACTAGTCAGAAAACTGTTTCCACATTTCACGAGTAGTTTTGCGGTATCTTTAATAGATCAATCATATTTGCAATGCGAGAAACATACATACATTTATGCAGATTCTTCATTATTTAATTTCTTTAAATGTAACACAGGGCGATAATATTTGGTGGCCACAATTTGAAAAGTGAAACGGACATTTAAAGTTTTCGACGCAAAGTGCCAAAACGAAATTAATAACACTTCTGAGCTAACATACTTTGGTCTAGAAAGCACCTTTTGGGGTAATATAAAATCTAAAAACTTTCAGATTTTCTTTGCTTTTTTATGTTTTCTATATTCTATGAGACTTATGGCAAAACGTGTGGCAACTTGCAAGAACGCCCATATTTGTTCATATTAGCAGAATACTCTGAAAGGTCTGATATTTGAAAGTGCTGTTCATTCTTTTCTCCCCTTCCAAAGGAAAGGCAAAGTGCAAAATTAGAAATGTAAATATCAACAGATGTTAGTAATTGCAGTATAGTTAATAAGCGAGCAAAGTTATTTCTTCAAAGGAAATTTCTCTACTTTGCAAGAACAAAACTACCTTGGAATCACCAAGAAGTGCCCCATAACGATGCAAGTGTGCTCATTTCATATGTTCTATGATATTTCAAAGAAGGCACTATGAATAGTCATAAATCTTAGTGTGATAAGGTCCAAGAAAGTCGTAATCCGTCAATAATTGGTACAAAATTCACTGTTACTAAACGTCGTGCCTATCGAGAATATCCACAAGATTCTCAGCCGCTCTTTCGCTTTGTCTTGATTAAACCTTTATTTTCCTGATTCGAAATCTATTTATTGAATTACAACTTTATTGAATGTTAAGAATTCTTAGTATTCTGGCTGTAACAATTTCAAGTCCTTTTGTGTAAAAAATAGGCTTATTCGTTTCTCAAAATTTCCATGTCCCAAAATGTTCACTGTAATATAAATCTTGCCTTTTGTTTTTAGACTAAGAAACAAAGAAATTGCTGGCACTACAGAATTTTATTTGAATTGGGTATTAAAGTTGCTTACTCAGATTTACAAATGTAAGCAAATAACTGTTTCAGTGCAATTTTAATCACCTTCACATCTCCATCGAAAGCTGTTCTGTGTTCACCTTCAAGAATGTAAAAAGAGAAAATGTTTGGAAACTTCTGACCTGCAATTGTATATAACGCAAGACCCATCCAACGGGTCACATTCCTGATATTGAGTGTCAATAATCTCGAAGGCCCAATTCTTTAAAATATGTATGGCAATATCTTTCTTGAACACTTTATTTACAAAATTCAGATTTACCTCAGTTTGAAATATAATTTCTTGCAATTTATCTGGTAATTCATTGTTTTCGAAGATAAATTATTTAAATTTTTAGATCATTTGAATGAAGAAATATTCAAGCTCTAAACTTCCAGTTCTAATTAGGGGGGGAACCCAAAAAGAGTATGAAATTCGGATCAATTTTTATCTAAAAACAAAGCTTTATGTTATATATAATAGGAGTAAAACCTCTGCTAGGAAAACAAAGACATAAGAGCTCAGTTAAATTTAATTCCTTCACTACACCCTTTCTAAAATGACCATGCATAGTTCCAGAAGATTTTGGTCATCTGTGGAGGTAGTTGGTTTAGAAAGGTGATATTAAATACTGATATATGTTTATATTCGAAGAAATATTGATCACTTTCAGATGTGTTTGTTCTGGAGAGGGGATCAGTACTGTATTTATACTATTTCTTAACCTTTTCTTTATCGCCCAGACGTTATAGTGGTTAGAAGAGCTTACTACGGTACCGAAGGGTCAGGGTTCGAATCCCGGAGAAGACATGGAAATTTGTAAATATATAGTGTCGGTGCGGCACGGCGGCACTCTAAATATGCGGCAAGCCAAAAGTCCTCTCGTGTGGATTGGTGAGAGTGGAGAGGGATGGGAGACTCCCGGAACCCCCTCGAGGTGCTCTCCATCAAAATTGGGGGTGGAAAATAGAAGTTCAACCTCTCTTCGGAGTAGGCTGTGGCAACCATTGTTTCATGTAATTATGGACACGACAAAACAACCTTCTCTTTGTCATCTAAGAACAAGGTAGCCTATTTATTTTTCAATTCCCTGCAAAAATCCTTCAGTGCACTTGATACGAATTGTTAAATATATCCGTCAACTGGGAATTCCTCGTTCAAGAGGAACAATTAAAAAGGCTCTATCCCCAGCACGAAGAAGGTTCAACGGGTTACCCAGTCCTATCGGACAGGAAAAGCACACGCTGATTCCTTCAATGTAGCGGGCGTGCGGTCCCGGACATCTAAGGTCATGACAGACCTGTTATTGCTCTGTCTCGTGCGGCTAAACGCCAATTGTCCCTCTAAGAAGAACGTCCGACTCGAAGGATCGGAGCGTCCTGAAGTATAGGAAAATTCTTTGAATACATTATTCTGTGCTCCACACAGAATAAATCAGTTCTTTAGAGTACAATCAGGTAGGTGACTGGCTGGAATACCAGGAAGATGATGTGACTTCCGCATTCAATTACAGCTACGTAATATTAGTATCACTACAGTAACTGCCTTCAGTGTACTGTAATTTTTCAAGCATTTCATAATCCCTACTTATACTCTACTGAGTTATTTCATCAATTTTATTTTACTCTTAAAGGTTTATTGATAATAAATAGATTCTCTATAACTCTTAGCAGTTTGCATTAAAATGCTTTTCATTTAGTAATTTACTTCTCAGTATCTGCTGATATTATAAATTACTGGCTATTTTTTTGTCATCTTAAATATCGTTTACTTTATCGGTATGTTTTTCTAAATATTTCAAATGCTTGTAAAAGTATAAAAAATAATAACCTGTGCTTCTGACCATAATGCTTTCCTTTGCAATAGAGAAAATTTTGTAGAATCTGTCAATATGCTTGTAACTTGAATTAAATGCTAGTTTTATTTCTTCCAATAAAGTTTCTTCATCTCCTGCTGATTCTGGATAAATAAGATGTAAATGGGTATTTACTTTAGAACTGAAACACAAATGATCAGAATTAGGAGGATCTTATACTTCTCAGTTGTTAGTAATAACAATTTTAGATAAAGAAAGTGAATAACGTAAAATAAAATACGCTTCAAATGCATAAAATAAAATATAACATAAAATGAAATATATTGAAACAGAAGATAAGAGTGATCAATCGATTTAAAAATTAAGATCCCCATTTCATAATCTGAAAGAAATTAAGAAATAGCAATATAATAAATATATTAATAATATGCTTACACACAAACAGGTGTTTTGAATTTTAAATACATACTAGTATTTTCCTTATTAGTTAACAAGTCTTAATGACAGCATTAAATTTTGCAACATTTGAATTACTCGATATTTAAATAAACACCTAATATGGCGAACCGTCTCTAAAGTGGTCATTCACAATTCAGGATAGTTTTTATCTTCTGTAGATGAAATCGTCTTAACGACGCGATGCTCAATACTGGTCTCTATTGATGAGCTCGAAAATACAGTCAGTTTTAGGGGTGATCATCTACAAGATTTGATTCTATACAAAGCAGGAAAAGAGTTGATAAAAGATTCCATATTCTATTATTAAACCCATATTAAAATTACTCATTTTACAAAGACCATTATAATTGTTAAAAATTTTGGAAAGAGAATGAATCTTAAAAAAAAATGGATCGATGAAGAAATTGATAGCTTAAGAAATATAATCTGAAAATCAGTAACATACACATTCAAAGAATAAAAGTGCAAAATATTAATTGCAAATTTATGAATGGCATTGGAAGTTTGAACCATGCCAAAACATTTTAGAAGATATATACAGGATTGTTCTCAGGCCACAGAATTTGAGCGCAAGCAAAATACAATAGAATGCGTTTTTTATTTATTTATTTATCTATTTTTAATAAAAGTAATTTATCACTTTCTCTTCCCTATTTTTTAAGGAGTAGAAAATTTTAAACTAACATTTAAAATGCAGTTGGATTTATTTTAAACTGCTTAGAATTCTTTTTTACTTATTGACTGAAAATGCAAGATGTAAAAATTTCGTATGCAAACAGAAGGTAAATTTGATATCTACCTGTGTACATCGTAAGTAATATTTTTAACTGTAATGTTCTGGACTGATCCAGGCAAGACCTTTGCTAAAGCTGAAAGAAATTCTGTCGGTTGTTCACAGCCAGAAAATAAAAAGCCATACCATTCAGACCAAATATTTTTATCTTTGGATAACAAAGAAAGTGCGTAAGTGTGCACTCCTGGAAAGTAACAAAACTGTAGTTAAGAAATCAAAGGCAATAACATAAATATACAACTTTATTGTGTGTTTCATAAGTAAAGCATTTAAATTTTGCAGATTAAGGATAAACATACCAGGCATTCTGAAGAGGATTTTAGATGATACGATTCTTTCAAGCGGTTGTTCTTTTTCCACAGAACACCAATAATAACCTTGCAAGGCTATACTCCAAGGGAAAACAGGCACTGTTAAGCGTGAATTATCTCCATCTGATGTGACAGAAGTGCCATCTTTAAACCAAAGTACGCTGTTGGTCAAATACCAGCCACTTGGGACGCAACGGAAATCGAGTATTCCCAGCAAACTAGTTTCGTTTTCAGTTGATGAATTTTGTGTCACCTGAGTTCTGTCTTCAATGTATGCAACTGTTGGACCTAGAAAATTAAGTAAAACAATTAAAAATTTAAAATAATTTTATGCAGTTTTATTTTAAATGTAGCATTATCTATGAATTTAATGCAAAATAAAAGAAATAGTATTTATGCTAAAGCATGAAATCTCTATATGAGTTTAATATTACACTATTTTAACTTTTGCGACTCGGATTATCTTAGAATTTCCTCTACGAAGGCTTTTTTTCTTTTAGACAGGCAATCATCGTGTGCTTTATCGTAATCAAATAATCCAAGGTCAATCCATTAATTTTCAGATTCAGCTAGCTGAAAGAGTATTTTCTTTGCCATTTTAACCAAAGCATGCCTTAAATTACTCACAAGAATTAATAATGTTAACAAAGAAAAAAATTAAACTATTTCATAGCACATGTGAACTCCATTATTTCCCATGCAGCTTCAAGATTAAGAATTATTGAGAAGAATGCAACGGCCTAATGAGATTAATACTGGACAAAACCCGATTTTTTAAGTGCAATTTAAAAACACAAGGTTTTCCATTAACACGCGAAATATTTCAAGATTCTTTCTTACAAATAAACTAAACAATTGATACCAAATTTTATTAGGGTAAATTAAAAAGACGCCCATTATTATTATTATTAATATTATTATTATTATTACTTATTTCTTAAACGCTTAGTATGTTAATCTTTGCTGATGATGTGTCAGTGGGAGGATTTACTTTGCCAGACTGAAAATTTAGACGAATAAAAACAGCGACGACTATCTGTTTCAATAAGGCTGATGACGACTATCTGTCATCAGGCTCACTACTACAGACACAATTATCGTGATAATTTGCAGGATTACCTTAAGCCGTTACCTGACAGTTAATGTTCTAACAATTCAATTATGATTCCTTGCTATCTACAATAAGACAACTTTAGATAGAAAAGAAGACAAGATAGTGCGTAAATACTATGATAATTTTCTTTTACAAGTTAGAATCAATTTATATGATTTTCAAACATTAAAATATCTGTCATCGTCGAATTTGGCACAGAAAATGTATGTGATGAGACTCGTACTTTACGCTTAAGGGTTTAATCAAAATTTGACACAAAGGAAAGACATAATTCGCGACAGTATCTCGATCAAAGTTTTCCATAAAATTGGATAAAATGCTCAGGACGATCAGATGACGAATTCATAAGGTAGCCACCTCCTTTTTCAGATTTAATCCCTATGGCTTTCGTTTTGAGATTAGTTTAAGACGCTGTTTTTGTGCATCCACTCCTCCCTAATCTCTAGGTTCTTAGCAACGGTATCACCTATGACACCATGATATATGAGTCATGGACGAAATGCACTAATTCCTAGATGTCTGCCCTATCATAAAAGATATGCAAATTAAGTATTTGTGATGTATATAAAAATTTTTGTCTCTTTGTTTCTGTTTCACTAGAACAAATTTTGGTACCGCAATAATTTCTCCGAAAAATGTATTTGTTATGAATTTTCAAAATGTTTCATGCAGTTATGAATAACTTGTAATTGAATACCATCAATGTTAATCTTATATTTAGACGTCAAGTGAAATCTTTACATTTAACACGGTGCCCGCCGAAAACATCGCAGCAAAAACATCGCGTACGAAAACCTCGTGAAGAAAACAATGCAAGGGGAGAACGTCGTAGTACAAACATCATGGGAAGAATGCAAAGAAATAGAAATAAGAATAGCAAATAGAAAGCAAAGAAAAAAAACCCCGCAGTTCTAAAACACATCGTGGTACAAAATATCGTGGTTGAGAATAAAGCGGTTCGAAAACTTCGCAGTTTAAAAACATCATCTCCGAAAATATCATGGTAAAAAATACAGTGCCTACAAATCATTGCATGACGATAACATCGCACATACGCGTTTTTCAGGTTTTAAAAAATATAAGTGAATTTTCGCATAATTATTTGGGAATTAAAATTGACACTCCTGGACATTGACACTCCTAGTTTATTAACAAGGGTTATTAATAAATTAATATATTTTTATATTTTTTTCTGATAATTTTCATGGAAAATACAGTCTAAAAATGTTTAGGAAAAGGAAGACAAATAACTGCATAAGGTTACCTTTATACAAATTGCTTAGTTAACTATCAAATTATTTTCTTTCACGTTCGTTAATCTGTTATTGTTTAAGTGAAAATTATATCTTGTTTTGTTGCCTTTTATTCTTGAAGTGTCGTTGACATTTTCACTCTCTTTTCCTTTTCTTTCTTGCGCTCCCAAATCATTATGCGAAAATGCAGTTATAACTTTTAAAACCTGAAAAATGCATACGCGCGATAATATCGTCATATGATGATTTGTAGGTACTTTATTTTTACCACGATATTTTCAACGATGATGCTTTTAAACTGCGAAGTTTTTGAATCGCTTTATTTTCGATCGCGATATTTTGTACCACGATGTTTTCGAACTGTGTTCATGTGTGAAAAGTGATATTTTCTCTTTGCTTTCTTTTCTTCTACGATGTTTGGCACCACGATGTTTTCGCCTCGCGTTGCTTTCTCCGTGACGTTTTCATTCACGATGTTTTCAGCTGTAACCTTTTAACATACCGTACTATTGGTCTTTAATTTTAAATTCAAAGGTTGAAATGTATTTTATATGATTATATAAAATGATGTTTTGATAAAGCTGATCTTGCCCTATGAAGAAGATCATTGGTATGGCAGTAATTTTGTTGCGGAAAGTTATTACAAAACTTGCGGCGTAAATCCTCAATATACACTAATGGTACAGGTTTTTGTGCATGTAGAATTTCATAAATTAACTGAAATTACAGAATTTGTTTACTTGACACTATCCCTTCCTGCATTTCTTGCATCTTGCAGATGCACTTTTTTGTTCACGGTATTTTAATCTCAGGGTTAAGGAACGGTATCTAGAAAGTTTTCCTGCAACTTATTTACTGGAACACGCAATGTAATGGACATGTGGCAGAAAATCACCAGCTTAATTTTTAAACAGCAGTAAAAGAGTGGAAATCATTAAAGATTGTATTTGGATTCTTTGTCAATATGCAGTGATCTGAAATCTAAGGAGGGTTTTCAAAATAAACATTTCTAATTTGAATTTTTCTGAGCAGAATGTTTTTTTAGTGTATTTTTCGTGTTTATTCTAATGAAAGCAGTATGAAAAATGATATGATAATTGTTGCCGCCAAATATTATTGCCCTGCATTATTTTAAAATAAATTAAATAAAGGAAAATGTGCATGAATGTAATGATATGATAATTGTTGCTACCAAATATTATTGCCTTGTATTATTTTAAAAGAAATTAAATAAAGGAGAAATTCTGAAATACGCTGATTCCTTTGATGTTCTAAAAACCTTTTACATTCGAAGTAACATAGGAAGTGTCTTATCATCGCAAAAATAATAATAAAAATTTGGGGTACAGACAATTTTTTATGGAGAGGGAAAAATTCATTCGACTTTTAACATAGACAGTTGAAGGAAGAAGTTGAGAGTTGATTAATTAGACAAGAAGAAGTTGATTAATTAGACATTTGAAAAATATTTAAAAATGACAACTCTATCTGGACAGGTTATTTTATTTCTGAACTTCCCAGAAATATGACTTAGTACCTTTCTTCATTAGGTGACGAAATCATTTATATTTATTACAGGGTTTTATTAAGGCAGCTTAGTTTATCCCCTTGTTTGATTTTAAAAGGTTAAATCTTCAAATTAATATCTGACCTCGTTTTACAAATACGAGTTTCTTGAAATTGTTTTTACATACATATGTATGCTGACAATGCAATATTCTACTGTGTTGCAAAATTTGATAGCGAATTTGTTTAATTTAGGCTATATATACTTTTCATATATCGAAATTCAAAATTCGAGCTTCTATATCCCCATGTTCGGGTGGAGGATTTCGTTATTTAAAATTTGATGGCTCTGGGTACTGTCGTTTTTTCACAATGCAAGAAACATACCTACACTCATGCACATCTTCCTTTATTTAATTTCTTTTAAAATAATACAGGGCAATAATAATTGGTGGCAACAATTTGAAAAGTGATTCAGCCTTTTACAGTGATTCAACGCGCAAAATCCCGTTTCGAGGTAATAGCCCTTCTGAGCTAACGCTCCTCTGTGCTAAAGTCTTAAGATGAACTGTTTTAGTTAAATGCGCTAAAAGGCTAAACGGAAAATTTTAGCTACCATTTTTAGCTCTTGATCGTACGTGACTAACAATAAAATCGTATAGCGTCGATATACGAAATGTACTAGGAACTGACGGAATTCCAAAGAACAATTAGTATTCTTTGATATTTTATTAATTTAATATTGATGATAATTAATGTTCACGCATAGTAATCTGAGTGGTCGTCCAGGTTAAGTTGTCACTATGAGAGGATTTTACTGCATATACAATAAAATAGCACCTAATCGAATATTCAGTATTTGGAAAAATTGATGAACTTACGAGTATCTTTGCAATTATGTCTTTCACAAATGTATCCATGTGTGGCATCTCTATTGTCCAAGTTCCAACGAATCTTTTTGTCTGGAAGTTTCCTAAGAGATAATAAGCCATATGAATTAACAGCGCTAAAGTCTGTCCGTGAATCCCAATCAACAAACTCCAGCTCAGTGCGATTTGAGTTCAGCCATTTAAATCCATCACCATCGTGTACTAAATTAATCCACCATGAAGCTGCTGGAAAAATTCAAATTTCAAAATTAACATCCGTTAGATAAATGTTTATCGCAATTCTATGCAAAAAAGGCAATAATCTTTACTTAATCTTAAGTACAGGATTCCTATAAATTATTCGGACATATTTAAAAAATATCACGAAAATCAACGAATTACGTCATAAAAATTTGATTTGTTTCTAAAGACTTATCTCAAAGACGAATTTTAATCGGCATACGATATGTTTTGGTTCAAGTTTTGGCACTGCACGGTTTATATTGTGAAAATGTGCAGATCCAAATGCATAAAAGATGTGAATCAACTGACAGCTCATCAACTGACAGCTGATGATGAACTGCGACATTATTAGTAGCACTATATTATGCCTGAAAATACACTACCCAATATTGAAAATGCAACACCAAGAAGGAGTAACCATAAAGTGATGAAACTCAGCAAATAGAGAGTAGCAGCAACGAACAATAAGTGATCTTTATTTCGAAATGATATACGTAATACAGAGCGAGAACAGCATTGGCTCAGTAAGTTGTAGGACTACCTTAGATGATGATACACGAAGCACGTCTCGGTACAGAGTCAATGAGACTACCGATAGTGTCCTGAGGAATGGCCGTCCATTCCCTGTCAACCATTTGCCACAGTTCGTCTTCTGAACGCGGCAAGTGGCGTCCAATCACATTCCAAATGTGTTCGATTGGTGAGAGATCAGGAGAGAAAGGTAGTCAAGGAAGCATCTGTACACCTCGCAGAGCACGTTGGCTGATGCGAGCAGTGTGTGGTCGGGCGTTATCCTACTGATAAAGGACACTAGGCCAGTCCCTGAATCTAGGGAAGTGCAACCGGCCGCAGCATATCATCCACGTATCGTTGGGCCGTCATAGTGCCCTGAATACGAATACAAATACGAATACAATACGAATACGAATACCTTGAATACAATTACTCCCCAAACCATGACCCCGCGTGTTCTACCACGCTACATCCCGTTTCTCATAAGTTGTTGCCGGATTGAACCTGTCTCCACATCGACACCACGGAGACGACGCGGAGACTATCATTGGAGAAACAGGAAAATTGACTCATCTGAGAACACGACCTTGGGGCATTCCGCCGTCCATATCGCTCAAGTCCGGCACTAGCAGACGTTGGGATCTATGATGTGGGATCAATGGCAGTCTTCTTAACGGACGACACGAGCGCAAGCCACTAGCCACCAATCGACGGCTTTCTTTCTGGTCGATATGGGAACATCCAGGATGTCTTAAACATGCTGCAGAATGGAGGTAGAAGTAGCTTCCGGGTGTGCCACCGCCTGTTGGTGGGTGCGTCGATTCACGTCTGCTGACGTCACTCTGGCCGCACCATTACCTCTTTAACTTGCAACATTTCTTTTTCAATAATTGTCGCTACAGCCGGTGCACCGTGGACGCGTCCAGCTGTGTGTCAGCTGAAATTTGCCGTATGGACCAACCTGCCCTTCTCAGCCCTATTACCATGCCTCTCGTAAAATCGTCTGCCTGCTGGAACTCCCTCCGTTGAAGACGGCCTGGCATTCTCTGCTATCACACGCGTCCTCTGAGACAAGAACAAATTTTATACGATGATTTCCCTAGCAGAAATAACGGCATGAAAAGTGAACGTTCTTCAATTTCCTTCCCTTATATTTTCTTGAAGTACGTTGGAAAGCTAGTGGTGACGTGCGCTACCCTGAAATTTGCATAATTTTAGGGCCACTCCTTTTTGGTGTTGCATTTTCAATGTCGAGTAGTGTACAAAAGAATCAATTCCGTGCAATCTTAATTTTTACCATTCCGTACATACTTATATATAACACTAAAACCGCCATTTGTGGATGAAAATTGCAACTAATGTTAATCATTATGTCAAAAAAATCTGCCTCTCAGTTAAGATTTTGTGTATAAACAGCAATATGATGCAGCTATTTGCTAATTTTATATGATTTTTAAATTGTGTCCGAATTTATGAGACACCTTATGTTATTAGTTAACACATATTAATGTAACATAGCTTAAAAGGTCTTGAGAAGGCGCAAACCATAATTTCATATTTTGGCAAAAGAACAAAAGTAAGTACAAAAGATTACAAAATATCTAAGCAGATAATGCGGAATTCCAATTATTCGGATCGTTTGCACCTCTATCAAGACTAAGTAGAATTACGCTTGTTGATTTATTTACATGCTTTCAATTTCTTCTTCTTTGTACGAAGTAAAGGAAGTGTTGTAATCGTGATAAATTTCGGGTATCATATTTAAACAACAATATCTATTTTGACGCTGTCGAATCAATTTGAACGATGTTTCTACGTAATACCTGTTCGTACGGACAGAATAAAGGAACTTTTTTCTAAAACGGATTGTAAAATGGATTTTGAAATAGATTCAGAAGAGACTTTTTCGTGATATCTATACGTAACTCGAAAACGAATCACCGTTTTAAATTTTGCATACCGCACTGATATAACATGTAGTTGTACACTTCCCTTTTTCAATGCAACCGACAGCACCAATCGTGTATATAAAAAAAAAACTGATCTCATATATATATGAGATCAGTTTTTTTACAGTTTTAGATCAGTTTTATATATATATATATATATATACATTGCCAGTCTGTTACTCGAATCGTGAGATCAGTTTTTTTTATTCTTATATATTAGCAAATTGTGCATTTTTTGCTTTAAATGTGATTGAAGATTAAATTACTTTTTTTTTATATTCCGGTTACAGATTTTTCCAGTTTGTTAATCTGTATGCAATAGTTGTAGAATTATCAACAATTTACAAGTTTAAGTGGAGCTAACCCTAGCGAGACTGCCATATATTTACATTTGGAACTTTTAGCAGAATAGTGAATTCAGTTTCTGCACCAACTTCAGTGTCTTTTTGCACAGTATGGCCAAAAGTTGACTTTCACTTGTGTGCACCGAAAATATTGTCTTCCTGTCCGCAAGCCAAATTTCGTGTTTTGGGAAGAAGCTGTAATTTTAGTTGCAAAAATTTTTTAACTGTATTTGGTGTTTTTTTCTTTTTTTCTGTATTTTATAATTTTTAATGAAGACAGAGTATTTTATGTAGTTTTGACTGTGCTGCGAAGCGAGAACTGAATTTATTGAGTTAGAAATACATTTGTAATGAAATTCGAGGAAATAAGTATAAATGAAGTGCAGCGAAAGATGTGCATAATTTAATACGTCGTACGAGGAAGTAATGTGGTGTCTACATCAGATATTTTATTTAAACAGCATAAAATTATTAGAATACAGTACATATTTTTAAGAAGCTACTAAATCAATTTAATGAATGCATACGAATTGTAGATCGTCCAATATTCAGCAAATATGTAGCTTGTAAGCATTAACGGAAAGGCTTTAAGTTAGACACTGGCTTATTATTTCTTTGTTTTCTTTGAGTTTTTGCAGAATTCAATGCTAATGTTTTTAGCAATGCTAATGTTATTAACAAAGTGAGTTTTGTTCTATTTCTTGTACTGAAATGAAAATGTTTTATTTTTTTAACTGTATAAATTTTGTTGAAATAAAATTTGATTAAAAAGTTCCCTCATTAACCTTGAAATAAGTACGTATTCCGTCTACAGAGAAAGAACAAAGCAGTTATATAAAAAAATTGGGAATATCCAGATAGATGTTATGACCTCGATTAATTAAGCCGGGCTATGATCTCGGTCTGTAGTTCAAATATTGTTAAAAATTTAAATAAATAAAATGTTGAATTTATTTTTTAGAAACCTATTGCAAAAAGTATAAATATTCTATGAGAATGTAAATTTTAATTCATTAAAACTTTTAATATTTAGAATAAGAAACATTTTCTGAAAGAAAATACGAGAAGAAGAATTTTTCAACGTCGGAAGTTTCCTTAAGCACGTAATATTGGCAGGTAGCCAAAAGGTAGCTTTAATATATCCATAAAATTCAAAATTATAGTACATAGTTGCATTATAGGTAAATTACGCTTATCAACCTAAGATATCAAAGCTTGCTGACTCGTCAGCCTGATAAGAAATATAAGATCGCAAACAGATGGCTAAGATGTCCACCCATTTGGAAGCATGCAAGAAGAGCAGAAATGAGCAGTTATCCTATTTTTCTTAATACTGAAATAGAGAAATAGCACAAATATACAGGTGCAAGTGGAAAAAATAGTATTAGTGATGCTGGTGAATTACTCAGGCAGGTTATGCACGTACCCCTCTCTTTAACTCTTTGGCAACATGTTTATTAACTGCAGCGGGCTAAGAGATGAGGTACATCAGTTGCTAGGCAGTTGGTGGGATCACGGAAGATATCTTCTTCCAAAATCCAGACATAGCTACAACTCCGATATACTTTGTCTGGACGCCGTGAAGACTATGTTAGAAAACACTGATATATTTTGAATCTCAGTTATGAATATTTTATTAGTTAAATAATGATAAATTTGCTTATTGAACTTTTCTCTTATGTCCTTTAGTATGTTATGCTCGTTTATAATACTTAAATTATTGTGTTTTACACTTTAGGAAATGCAACTGCAGCAAAAAGGAATTAACAACCGAATAGAAATATACTGTCGAAGTTCCTTATAACGACCACAAACAGTAACTACTATTCCATCGCAATCATATGCATAAATAGTCCAGACCAGATGAGAACATATTATACCAGTTTTCGCTATAGCGACCATTCGTCATAAGGTTCTTTCTCTGTAGAGTACGACAAGTCGTTATAACCAGCGTCAATTTTTAGATTTTAAATTTCTATTCTTGAATGATTTTACTAGCAAAAGCTTTCAAACTTTATATTCTATTCTTGAAAAATAAATATTAAGTTACTTACTCATATCTTCTGAATGCTTAAAATGGTCACCTAAAAGCATTTTAAAGCTGGAATAAACTTCAGGATTCTGAATACTTCGGAGAAGATATGAATCTTTATCTATTTTCTGACATAAGTCGCTCGCTTCTTGCCAATGTACTTTTTCGTTCTCAATTAAGTAACAAGTATCACTGTTGGTCAGTTTTCTCCAAGTTTTAGAGAAAATATTAGCTGTAAACAAAAAATATGCAAAACATTATTAGAAATATAATTCAGTACAATGGTACCTAAATTTTGAGTCGCCAAGCTTGGTGACGCCGTGAGTAGTTTATGAGGAGAGAAATATATTTCAGTGCTTTCATACAAATTATTTAATACAAGTGGGTTCAAAAGAAGATGTGTTGGTAATGTAATAACAACAACAAATTTTAGGCTTCCCTGCCCCGTGAACTAAATCACACTACAGGTCTACTTCCCCTTTGGGCACTTCGTGGAGGTTCAACCTCCACTATTACCCTCCAGAGGAGCAGCGCACCACCTGGAATTCACCAGGCAGCACCGGTCGTCTAATGCTCCTACCAGTCGCATGGGCGAGCCCGTCGCAGTGGGCCATTACCCAGCAAACCGGGGGGAACCAAGCCCTCCAGCTACGGTTCCACACCGCTCAGGACATGCCAGTCCCCGAGGCCGGCCAATAAATGACCTTTCCCAGGGCCTTCAAAACCACCAAGTTCATAAATTTTATCCCCCGTGGCCGAGACTGCCTAGGTACAGATCCTAGCCAGTAGCTTCGCAGAGTATATCGGAAAAAATACAGTTCAAACCATTGTTTCGAGAAGTAATTTAAAAGCACCTATCAGCTCATCAGTTGAAACCTTTCAGAGTTTAAGTCCCATTTGAATTTAATACTTCCCTAGAAGGAAATCTTACCGAGCTGTAGTGGGATTACATACTGACGACACAATTACACAGAAAGGAATTTATTGACTTTCGGATATTATTAAAAGATGGGAAATCTAGGTGTGAGGCTATATTTGTTCAAGGTTTAATTTTTGGTCTTCGCTACAATGAAAAAGTAAGTATATAAAGAAAAAATTTTCGATACTTCCTGCTACACCATTTCAGTATGCAGCAAGAAATGAGGCAACTACACTCAGTTTGATACCAAGATTTGAAACCAAGTGTATAGTGTAAAACATGATCCTTAACTGTGATTCATTTGTTCAATCATTGGTCAAAGTGAGAACTTATTTAAATTATTTTATTTTACAGAAATTGCTTCTGAATCCGAAATGCACAATTTTTTTTAAAGTAGGCAACTTATTAATCTGTCACTACGGAAGTGGACCCTTGTGGGATCACGAAATGGTTGGTTAAATCGAATTATGGTTAAGAAGCTTTTTCTTCGATGTAATCTTAAATAGTTTAAAAAATTTTTGCTGCTGTTCGATTTGCCGACACCTATATAATGAACTCCACAGTGCTCCAGTGGTACAGCTATCCTATACTTACTAAAAAACTACTTTAAACTTCGCATGTAGCATAAATGCCTTATATTTCAAAATTGCACCACTTATTGGAGTATCCTGAGACATTCTTGTTGAAATCATAGCCGTAAAACATTATCCACCAGCTTATTTATTACGTTTTCCAAGAAAGCAGCGTGCTGAAAATACCATTTTCTCCGAATCCGCTTGTGTACTAAAATTTGGAATCGATTTAAGATTTCGGCGTCAGTCGTCAACGTATTCTTTCCTACTCTGAATATGTCTTAAATGCATTTCACTGGTTTCTTTATATAAATATTTTAGAGTGTTTAATTTTGGTTCCAAATCCTATCTTCATTTTCACTCCTTTTGTCAAAGAAAACGTTTTCACGCACTAATTTAAAGCAACTGCGTAAAGAGGAAACCATATACATCGTTCAAACAAAAGCAAAATAACGCCTGCATAACAATAAGTTAATTACGCTCAAATGAAAACGTAATTAACAAAAAACAATTTTGACTATAGGCAGAATTCGCAACAGATGCCGTATGAATAATTTGCTTAGCCGAGCGGCCTATTAAATTGATTGTCGATTAATCCTTTCAATCCCAAATATTAATTTTTCATTCTAAAAACCTGAAATTTGTAAAATATATTCATTTTGCATTCAGAAGAAAATGGTGAAAAGCAAAAAAGAAAAATTTAAACGATTCCAAATGACATCATGGGGAGTTAAGTGGCGAACAAGTTAAAATGAGATTGATGCCAATAGGAGTTGGTACAAAGTCATTAGAATACGCATTTAATAGATTTTCATTTTTAAAGAAATAATATATTCTTTAAAAATGAAACAGCTAAACTTATACTTACTGACATAATAGTTAATGCTGAACCGTATATTTGGTTAAAAATACTTCAGTATCTGAGCATTATTATTTATTTTGTATAAAACGCTTTGTAAGAGCTTTTAGTTTTGTTTATAGGCACAGATGAACATTACAATATTCACACATTAATCTAGAGTATGATTTAATACATAATTTGCATCTTTTTCTGTGTGAAGGGGCAACTGAGTTGTGTTGTAATATCTGGCATCTGGAATGGGTTTCATCCATAATTTCAACGTATAACATGCCGTTCATGCTACATGGTACAAAAACGTTTATGCCTCTTTTATGAGGCTTGTTTCCAATATACTTCTTTAATTTATTTCCACCCGTGAATGGAATTACACACTCATTAATACTGATATTTTCTTCTTGATATACTTTTTTAAGTTCTCGCAAAATGCATCTGTAAGTGGCCTAATTTTATCTAGTCTGTCATGACCAGGTATCTTTTGTTGGTGTTGTTAACATATTGTCTCAAAGTCTGAAAGTAATTCCGAAACATGTTGTCTGTAATTAAAGGGAATCTTGCAGAGTCACTCTACAATTAGTTGTACGCAGGCATATATATAAGGCCAATCATGAAATTAATTCCTAGGAATACCTCCATTTCAGGTTTATTTATGTTTATTGAATTGGTTATTTTTTCACATGATTATATTGTAGCTTAACGGACCAAATTATCAATTACATTGTCATGACAATGAGATTTAAAATATTCATATGCTGTAAATAATTCGAGCAGTAGATCTAAAACTTGCCCTTGAAATGTAGAATAAAGTTCTGGTGGTCATTTTGAGTTCAAGGAAGAGTTTCAGTCGGTTTCGTTTTTGAATTATTCATTTTCCTTCTTTTTTTTCTATCTTATGTCCCACTAGAAGGCTCAGGAGTTTTACCATTATCTAATTTTTATAATTTCTATGTCATCATCTTCTTACTTTAATATTCAGTATCTAGCACATTTTCTTGTTCCTCTTCTACTTCAATCTCAATTAATTTATTCCCAACAGACATGCATTGAAATTCTTTAACTGACTGAGATTTATTAACTATATTTTGTATTTCATCATTCTTAGATAAATTATCTGTAATGTTTTCAATAATTTCCTCATTGGAATCTTCCAATTCACATCTGAAAACGTTCTCTTCATCGACTAATAAATTGCCTTATCAACTGATGAAATTTCTGATTTACGCTTTGACATAATGAAACAATATCGCATAAAACAATAAGTCCTGTATTTAATCACAAATATATCTAAAAATTAGCAAAATATTATGAGGAAACACTAGTAATAATAGTGCAAATGAAAAGTAAACAACACAGAAACCAAGATGTGTTGAGTTGTACATAGCTCCCGCTGATGCCATTTGGAATCATAACTTTACAGTAAATAAAAATACAAACATTTTGAAAGATATATTTATTAAAATGCTTCACATACTATTTATAAATATTAAAATATTAAATAAGAAAGTATTTGATTCCATTAAATGCTTTTAATTGCCTCAAAAATGAAGCTGATTTTGACATGCTTATCCAAAACATGTTGTTGTAAGTAAAATTTTAGCAAGCATCATTTCATTCATCAACAAAGGATAGTGGAGTTATCTACTAGTTGGAAAAAATATATTTCGCTGGGGAAAATGTATGCAGATTTTGACAGTGTTCATTTGGAGTCAGTGGGAGCTTTTGTTAGAAAGAAAAAAAAATCCTAAATATTATGATTCCAACTGGCATCACTGGGACTGAAGTGATTAAACCAAAGCTGGTTAAGTGAGCGCCTATTGTATCTTTGAATTTAACTAACGTAATCGCATCACCTGTACTCTGTAGGATAGACTAATGTTTTGACTTTTGGCTCCGTGGAAAATTTCTGAAAAATCGCTGACGTTGTTAACTGAATTTTTTTATTTACTTATTTTTAATTTTTGAACCATTACCTCAGAGCGTCATTGTAGCAACATCTAATATGTCATTGTAATCCAAATATAAGACGTCTTCACAACCCCTCCAATGTTTTATAAGGAAAAGGATGTGCTTAGTAGTATATAAGGTGATCTCACACATATAAGCTTCATATGTTAAAGGTGCCTTACAAGAATGATGAAAATGATGTCCGTTGAGATAAAGCTAAATAAATATATTTTCGTTTAACGTAATATTAAAGTGATAAATTATTTTAATGCATTTTTTTAGTATTAGGCTTCTCATAAAAGACGTGCATTATTTTAAGAAAAGCATGTTAAGAGAAATAATCTTTTATTCGACTAATAAAACACGTGGATAAAATATAAGAATTTTAAATTATAACAGTGGGTGATTTTTCGATAACATAGTATTCTCGAAATGCATTTACAGACATTATGGGATATTTTCAGTAAATCTAGCTTTTCAGGTATAATACTGATTTTTGCTTCCAGTCATTCGTATTTCTTCGCCATCTCTTAGTTCTCCTTCTGTTATACTATAATACGACTGCATATAAGACATAAACAGTACTAAAATCTAAAAAATTCAAAAAACATATTTGAACTCTGAACAGTAGACATCGAACTCGCAGCGAATCCAGAAATTAAAGACAGAAAATTCAAAATATGCCGGATTAGGACAGTTGCCTGATTACAGAGCACAGGATTATATAGGTATTATTTATATTAAGTCGATAAATAATTACACCCAGGACAATGTAATAATTACACCTGGACTAAATATGAGGAACAGTCAAGTGTTCGCTGAACCTTTCTACGAGAGTGATCTGCATCTGGAAGTACAGAGTTTATCAGAAAGTTACTGACACGATGAGGAAAATAAGACAATAAAACATTAAATTTTATTCTGAAAGTTTTAGATCACAGTCTAATTCCTCAAAGCATTTATTAGAGTTCTGAAATATTAAAAAATGTGAGTTAAAAAAAGCCGAATAACGATTATTGGAGAAATGGAAGAAACAAACATCAGCGAAACATTCATAAATTTGTAGGACTGGTTTCGAAATTTTAAACAGAACCTTGTTCTAGAGGTGAAAGGTTTTTTGTGAATGTGAAACGCCTGTAAAAAATATACCATCTCTTAGCAGTCATCATTGGGCGTTTCAGATCGCAGGCAACCACCATTTTGAACCAAATGCGTTGCCCGTCAAACAGCTGATATGTTTTTCTGGAGTCCATCCATGATTGACATACCATGCTAGAAAATATATCGAATCTGTTGGTCACAGTCTTTCGCCCTTCGTCTTGAGTCTCTGCAGGCTAAAATCATCTAAGAGTTTGCTAGTGTCCATTTCATTGTCTGCAATATGGAATGCACTTCAGTGAATGTTTGTAACAGACATTCATCACTTAGAAATTCAGAAACATTTCTTGAACTTATGCTTTTATAGCTTCCAAGCTATAATATTATTTCCAAAATGTGAATGCACACCATCTCAATAAAGATTTATGGCTTTAAAATCTAACATAAAATCGCCGCGCATTGTTTCATTTAAGTTTGTAGCTCTAATTTCCATAAAAAGTATTAATCTTTAAGTTTTGCACACAAGTGTATATATAGGTACACAGATATTGGTATACATATTCATACAGTTGTGGCCAAAAAGTAGAAACGGTTCTATTTCTTCAACGTTTTAGTCCATTATTAATGTGTGTCGTTTAGAATCCCACGATATAATTCATTGATTTTGTAAACATCGTTACCGATTTTTGGAGTGTTTTTGTTTTGGACTTTGAGGATACACTTTTTTATTTACAAGTATGCATCGAATTGTTATGTCACTTAAATTAAGACAAGTTTTATCTTCAAAATCTTTGGCCAAAAATGGCTTCCCTCTTGAAATTACTTCAGAAACCCTAGGCCTACGATAGGCATGTTTTTGCATATGGTGCTGCAGAATCTTTCTTTTGGGGAACATTCAACTGATATAAAAAATTTCTCATTGATCATCCATTGTTTTGCATCGTTAAAGTAGTTTTTTACTCAGCGCTGTTGCAATGTTTGTTTTCTTCTACCTTTTTTTTTCCTGTATAATTCATATACGAAAAGAAAGCGTTTGTGAGAAATTTTAGAGTTGAACAGAAAAGAATAGCATATTTTATAAGTCATTTACTATATTTTAATAGTAATTCTTATTTCTTGTTAAAATGTTTGTAGTTTTTTTGGCTAGTGTACGTTTTGTCATATTTCAGAGAAAACACTTTGATAACCGATCAGAACAAAACGGTGAACTTAAAGAATCGATCAATTTAAAAAGAATCAATAAATTACATCATTAGGACTCATATAACAGACAACAGAAATAAATAAGAAAAGTTAAAAATGACCTGTTCTTAAATTTGAAAAAAATAAATAAGTAAACAAATAAAAAGTTATTTTATTTTCGTCTATAGCTGTATGCGATATTCACTTGACTACTAAATCCCCTGCTACTTTTATATAAATATAGTTTTAAATGTTTCAGTAAAACTATTTTCAAATATATTTTTAAAAATAATACTTACAACTGAGCAATTTTATTGGTTGATGAATGCAAACGAAAGACAGCTTTTTACTACATGGATATGTTGGAAAATTATAAAACCCAATAGTAGAAAAGCAATCAAATTCTTCTTGTCTTGATCCATTTGTTGGTTGACCATTCGTTCTAAGGAAAATATATAAAAGAGACCGATATGTGAAACATGTATAAAATCTTTAGCAGACAGCATAAGAAAAATTTTGTTATGATATTTTAAAATTCGAAGGCAAAATTCATAAAGATTCCTCGCATAACGGTTGGCTTGGATTAGAATTAAATTAAGGCAAAGCACAAAGGGTCTATCTTTCTAAGGGAAGAGATGTTATTATGGAAGATAGAATAAAAAAACTATTGCCGTATTTAATTACACATGGAGAACACTAAAAAATATCCCATGCAGCAAGCCGGGACTTGAATCTGTATTGAATTATGCATGTTCAGTAATTTTATTGTTCGGTCACTGATGGGCACCTTTTCATAGGCGGCTTTAGCTACGGAAAACGCATCTGTGTATAAAGAAAGAAAATAAACAGAGGGAACGACAGGTAAACAATTCGTTCTTACCTGACTGGTTTGAAACACAATTCATGTTCAAAGTCACTGAAAGAAAATGTAAAAAAAAGTATTAGGCTTGAATTATTGTATCTTGTATTAAAAATAAAAACGCAGATGTACAAAAAAATTCGTTCAATTAATTATTTCAATATGTGAGCCTTCTGACAGCTCAGGAATAATTGGAATTACATCTACAAAATGATGCGCTCAGTTTAAAAATGTAACTTTTATAGAAATAGTATATGCTCATATATTATGAGACTACACTTAGTTTATATTAGAAAAGAAGCCCCTTCAGTTCAGGACGTTTGCCTACATATTTTGCTATGTTCTTAAAAATCTTACGAAGCCTTCTTTCTTTTAAACTCTGGACGCAACCAACGATGTTCATTTTCAATATCTCCAGGATATGTATTGCTTATGTGCCGAGTTTATCTTAAATAATTGCACAAAATGTGTCTACATTCATAGCGTCTAGAGATACTAGTGGCCATAATGCTTAGATGTGATTCGGTTGACAAAATATCTCATCAAGTATATCCATGGTGGAATAGGCTGTATGACATTTTGCACCAAAAGTGTTGAACTTAAGTCGATAATAGTCACAGAAAATGACACAAGTAAGTAAATGTTTTTTCGAATACTGCATACAGAGATATGGAATAATCACTCAGTTTTGCACTTAGAGATATGGAACTTTTTTTAACTTTTTAAAGCGTAATGAGTATTTTGCTAACTGAAATCTGTTCAGCCCGTTTATATAAAAAGTTAAATTTTCTTACAGATCTTTCTTTATTTATAACATTACAACTCTTTAATATTTTCACCCTTATTTTAAAAATTGTTAATTTATTCAAGTGCAGTATTTAAATGTATAGCCACATTTTTCGATTAAAAAATTAGTAATCTATGTGTAAGTTCGATGCACTATAGAAAGACTTAGATTCCTAGAATCTTACTTAGTCCTGCACTTGAACATGGGTACTTAAAAACCTGAATTTCGAATTTCCTTTTTATTCATTTTATGTTTATGCGATATTAATAAATTCAGGGAATTAAAATCAATATACTGCCGTTGCCAGAATGAAGGTCTTTCACACGCCAGTGTGTTACCTCTCCAGCATGAATGTTAGTGTTGGATATTTAATATATCTCTGAAGCTTAACTTGTCTGCTATTGATTAACAGTTATGATTTAAAAGCAAAAACACTGTTCTCGATAGTATCTGTTTCACTTTTTAATAATGTTTCTGATCCTCATAGCGGTTAGGAAGTCTGTCAAACACGTGCAGGAGTGTGCGTACCTCCAACATAACGCCTGTCTAACTCATTACACCTCCACTAAAATAATGATTCTTTCCCTGATGAGAGAGTGACGGTATCCTGTTTCAGACTCTCTCCAGATACAGGTACGCCGAGAATCAGTGTCCAGACTGAGTCTCCACTTATCTGCAAAAAGCGTGGTGATCCAATAGAGACTGGTCTCAGCAGCATGTTGTTTGCCCGATACTAAACGCGCTTTCTTGTGTGCTGCAGTGAGTAGGAAGTAATAAGTGTGTCTTCTGGAATATGGTTCTATCTCATAAAGCCTTCGGGTAGTTGTAGACCATGTAACTCGGTTCCATTAGCAGCATACATCTCACTTGATAGCTGTGAAGCTGTAGCAGTCCTGTGTCGCCACGCTGGAAAATGCTAAACAACGACCCCCATTCGTCGTTGTGGATCTTGGTCGACCTTCTCCAAGATCTCCTCGATATTGTTTTAGTGTCATGAAACATGTAATTATGGCCCAAGAGCCTCACCAATGCATTCTAACAGCTAAAGCTTATATATCCATGCAGCTAACGCATTCATGTAATATCATCCAGGTCCCAGTTTATTCATGTGACTTCACAAAGAAACAAATGCATTCCCGAGGCAGGCCTCCTGTATCTCGGCAGCTGCCGGTTTAAGATGGTGGAGGGCGTGAGACATATACCTGCTTACCATTGTTAGACACCAAGGTGAATGTGAAGAAGTACGAGAACGCAAATTGCTACAAAAACTGTCGTGCGCTTATATCCCCTCCAGAATCACAGCTCCGCAGGCAAGCAAGTATGCGCTTACATATTCGACTCTAAATATTTGCATAATTAGCAATTTTGGTTCAACACTTCTCGTTAAAATAGACATAATCTGTAAATTCTCTTAATTTTGCAGTGTACTTTTCTGTGCCAGTCTGGATGACTGGCACAGCAAAAATATGTCAAAAACTACAACAAATACAGCGAGTAATCCTGTTAAAAATTGCCAGTGCGTATAACACCACATCAACCGCAGCACTTCAGGTTCTTGCTGGTACGCTCCCACTCGACCTAAAAGCAGAATTAGAAAGATCAATCTACCGACTTCTACACTGCAAAGAGGACCTTCACACTAAAGAAGATTTACATCTATCCTATGCCAGCATAGAAAGCTTCCAAGATCCCCCTGTCTTACATCCAGGAGATCTACTCATCCTTCCCTGGTGCAAATCGCCACCCTCAGGATAACAAAGAGATATTTTCTCTGACGGATCAAAAATTTCAGGACGAGTAGGGGCAGCGTTCACGGTCTTTTCGAACAATGAAGAAATTTATCAAGCACAATTCCATCTAAGCAACCACGCTTCAGTCTTTCAAGCTGAATCCCTCGCACTGAAAGAAGCAGCACTATGGTTAGGTACGCAACCAGCAGCTCACACTTCATTCTTCACAGATAGCATGAGTGTTCTGAATGCGCTGAATTCCTTTCCTCCAAAACATCCGCACATGGCAGCACTTAGAGACATCCTTTGACGTTAGGTTCCTCCATCCCTTTAAAGATCAACTGGATAAAAGGACACACCGGGAAGAAAGGCAACGAACGAGCGGATGAACTAGCTAAGACCACAGCTCACAAACCAGAAATTGACAAGGAAGTTCCGCTTTCCGCAGAAGTTGCAAAAAGGCTGCTCAAGACAACATTCCAAGAGACATGGTCATCACGAAGGGAGGAAAAAGAGACAGGAAGATTTACTTACAACATCTTCAAAAATACTCTCAAGAGGCTCAAATGTAACCGACTCTTCCTCCAGGCCTGTACCAACCACGGGAAATTCTCAGCGTATTACAGACGATTCCTCAGACGGGACGTCAACTGTTCTTGCGGTTTTCGCGGGGAAGACACGGATATACTTCATTACCTGCTCTCCTGCCCTCTAACGGAGCACCTTCGACAAAAGTTCTTTCCTTCCAACTACATCACATATCCTGTGAATAGACTGTTCACGGACTATTACTGCAACAAGGGCATCTTAGAGATAATGAAGCAAGTGAATGAAAATAATTAAATCCAAGAAACTAAATATTAATGTAAAATGTAAAAAAGGCGGCCTAACCGTCAGATTGCTAGCAATGACTAAGATGATTTCCTAACCCTGTAGTACCATTAACTTAGTTTGGCGGAACGGGTTAAGTAAAGTGACCATATACCAGTGTACTTGTCCTTAGTAAACACAGGTGATGCTACAGACAAATAAGGGAAGGCAGCAGCTAATCTTGTTTCCTTACCCATTTAGTTATGTAAAAAAATCGAGATATAAGTTCAGCACATAGCTCAGATCCGTGCTATTTAAGGAGAACCTTTGCATTTTCACATTTCTGATACTGTCGATTTTCAAAAAATTATGGTTAAGAATATGCTTATAGAGTCGTTTCTACAATAAATTCATTGGTTTCAGCAAATAGCAGATTTAATTCACTCAGTTACTATATCAGGTTCAGTGTTTCTCCTTACTTGCTTGGGGAACATTGAAGAACCTGACTCGGAACAGGGAGCTTACTAAAGCTATGTTCAATAAATGTGGGAAGTAGACAAGATACACAGGAAGGGTATACGAAACCCTTTATTTTAATTTTTTTTTTTTTTTTTTTTTTTTTTTTTTTTTTTTGTTTTTTTTTTTTTTTTTTTTGCACTCTTTACAAAAATTTCCGTACTTCGGAATACAGAGACCAACTACTTGTGGTCTGAACGTAAGAATATAAAAATATTTAACTAAACTCTAACTTAACTTTGGAATAATAAACAAGGGCCTACGTGGAAGATTGGCCGTATATTAGCAGGAAGCCGTATGTAGTACAGAGAACTGTTAACACTACAATACGTTTAAAATTATCACGAGGATTAAACCTCTGGCCTGGAAGGCAACCAGCAACCGAGTAAAACTGCGAAGGCAAGCGGCCTGCTTCGACTAACTCCTTCCTCTCTCTCGCTTGGCAAAAAGCCACAACTTAAGTACTTGGCGTTCGCCAGACAAATTTTCCTTAAATAAGTTAAAGCTTTTAATTCTGGCCGGAAGTAGAAAATAAGAAGTGATAGTAAAGATTTAAAATAAAAATAAACGTTAGTAAAACTTAAGATCCTTACATACTTCCCGCCAGAGTTAATTAGTTTGAAACTGAGGTCTAAAACGACCTTGTTGAAAACTTTTAGCTCTAGAATCTAACGCGAGGCCAATCTTTTACAAACATTTCTCACTAGAAACTAGAAATTTAAAAAAAAATTCTTTTTACAATAGCAGCTCCGTGGACAACCAATTTTTCATCCGTACTGCATCTAAACAGGAGCTTTTATTCAAATCTGGTTCCTTCCAGAGATCTGGAAGGAAAACTAGTTTAATGAAATGTTACACAATGAAATGGCAAGTAACATGAATATTTATATTTCTCTTAACATTCTTATTTCATTCATGACTTTATTTTAATTATCTCTCCCCGTGCTCTCTGACATGTGTTGTAAAAGAAAACACCAAACACGAATGTGTTTATGTATACGTGTTCAACACTGCCGCCTACAATCAAAACACTAACGTGTTAAAATTCAACATAACAAGACCTCGTAACACACCCTATCTTCAACTCTAAACCCTGAGGTACTATTCTGAAAGTGGCTAACTCTGAAGTGTAGCGTCAGAGAGCCTAACTACATTCATTCAACCTTTAACACATATTCACAATAATTTGGTCTTTTTACAGTCACCAGAATAAG